TCATTACCAAAAGACAATTCGGAGATACCTTGAGAGTGAAACGAGGATGTTCCACATTAGTAGAAGGTAATTAATTATAACAAAGTATAGATAAGATAATTATATAAATAATTAGAACCATAGAAGTTTTTAGAATTGAGATTAGATTAGTGGACCAGGTAGGATCCATTGTAGAATATTCTAGAAAGGATTTAGGATGGTTATTTAGGTAGAACCTACCATAAAATCTTCTAAAAAAAGAATTTAATGTAGTTATTTATATAGGACCTACTATCTAAGAATATTCTAAAAAATCCAGGGTGATATGATAAGATATAAACAAGACTAGCCATGGTCTTTTGGAGTATCTAGTCATATATGGCTTCAGACCCTTTTTTTTAGTAAAATTTAGTTTTGCATCTTTCTGTTATATTTCTGTTTGCTTAGTTTTGTCTTTTTTTTTCATATTCTATTTAGTTTTTTTTGATTTTATTCTATTTTTTTTCTTATTTTGTAACGAGATTTTATGTTATTGTGGAATAGAAAGATCTTAGATTTTTGAGATAGTTTAGTCTTATTTCATAATAGCAGTCAAAGTTCCTTAGGTTGAAGCGTCACTCTACACATAGTATAATTTGAATTAGATGTGAATATGGCAGAATAAGCATTGCAATGAAGGTCTCTTTATATAGCTCAATATTGCCTATGATATGCAAATGTATAAGTTTAACTTACTCATAGATCTTTCTGGATGCATAATGAAAGATTAGCCAATTTACATATTAAAAGATCTCACTGCAAGGAATTGGATTGATAAATTTCAAGATGAATATCTTTTTATAAGAGAGTTATGCCACATATTCCTTATGCATGTTTTTTATGCAAAGGTCCACGTACTTACATAGACCAAACAAATCAAAATTATTTGTTCGAAGCTACTCATTGTGCGTATGGTATATGATCTCTATTGTAGAGGTCATAGAATTGCCAAAGTAAAAAATCATATTTGTTCAAGTAGCAAAGAATATTTCTTTGTGAATATCAATTTTTATATTTTTTTACATAATTGGCTTGAAAAAAATTGCCATTTTAGATCTCTACAAAGACATTCTATTGTACTTTAAACTCTTCTTTGAAATGTTCTAATACCCTTAAGTACTAATCTTATAAAAATTCTTACCATTGCTTGTTTCTAAAGTCTTGCATGTAATTTTTTATAAATATTCCTATTGATTCTTCTTTTAACCATCAATAAGAAAAAAAAGATTTTTATGCGTCTCTTCTAAATAACTTATGAAGTATATAAGATTACAAATAAATAATTTCTTCCAAAAGATCAAAAAATATAAGATCTATAATATGATTTAAACATGTTGAAATCTTATAAATATTAAGCAAATTCCATGAAAGTTCACTACTTTGTAATGATAATCCATTATAAATGTAAATTTCTCACCAATAGAAGGTTGTGTAAGAGCACCATGATTATCCATGATTGAATAATTTGAATTCTATCTCCAACTTATGAATAAAGTTATCTTTTTTTACCAACAAAAGTTGAAAACTAGATGCCATTGTATCTATAGATATCAGATTAATTATATATCAAGCTAAACATATAATAACTCTTCATGTTGCTTATTTGTATAAATTTGTATGTAATTTTTTATAATATTTTTATTAATATGTCAAAGATATAGAATAATAGTTAAAAATAGAAATATCTTTCTAATTTCAATATTTGAAGCTAATTTCCTATCTTCAAAAATTTTGCTATACAAAGAGATCTCAATAAGTATTTTTTGTCCCATTCAAGCACAATCCAATAAGTTTCAACTTTCTTTGAAGCCATGAAGACTGTAAAAGATTTCTTTAAAGTTTTCTTTGTTATAGTATGCAAGATTAGCATCTAATACTTATTGATCTTGTATGTGGCATTGATCAAGAACACATTTTGATTCATACAAACCTAATTTTTTGAGATATGTTGAAAAAAAATATGGATTATTATTCCACTATATTTTAACATATATGTTATCTAGCAACCTTAGCAAATAAGGCCATTGAGCAAGATTTTAAGCAATAAATGTATATCAAGCAAAATCTTTGTAAATTTTTAATGTAAATTATAGATTGATTTTTGTATAAAAACAAATATTTTATCATGTTAGCATATTGCTAGCAAAACCTTCAACGAGCAAATATTTTCAAGTAGCAAACTTTCAATACATGGACTTTTAATCATTCTTGGCTCTTACACATACCATGTTCAAAAAGAGCCAACGACAATATATAATTGTGCTCAAAATTGGTGATCTTAAAGTATTAGAAATTGTTTCTTTTTTCTATCCACACAAAAATTTCAAATGGACAATTACTTTTTTAAGTTGACTTCTCTTGTTTTTGAAAAGGTTCAAAAATAATGCTTCTATAGCTACCATAATATAGTCACAATAACACCACATGCTAAAATGTTTCTTTAAGTACTTAGTCACAATGACATAGTCACAATTTGTTGTATAGATCTAGACATCTTTGAATAACTTTTCTTGTGAATTATACATTTTTTTTAATTTGGTAGAAGAAGGTTCATAATGAGAGAAAGAGAGAGAGAGAAAAAAAAAGATAAAGAAAAAAAAAGTTATGACAAAATTTAAATTCAAATAAAATGCAAATATTATTGATTTCTTAATTTGAGACTTTTTAAGCTACTTAAGCAATAGCTTTGTATTATCAAATATAAATGATAGTAATTGAAACTTAGAAACAAGTCATAAGACATAAGATCATTTAAGGTAATCATTTGAAGAAGAAATTATATGTATATATAAATATATATATATAAATATATATATATAAATATATATATATAAATATATATATATATATATATATATATATGAGAGAAATTTTTATAGAAAGAATAGAATTCATCAGATATATAAAATAGTGTAGTATTTGCATTTATTATGTAAAAGACATGCATTATAACTTGACTTACTTTCTATACAAAATATATGCAAAAAAAACATCACCTACTATTATATGTGACCTTTAGTCTAGATAACATCTTAATACTATCCGCAATCCATCAAATATTTGTATCAACCTGTCCATTACTTAGGATTTTAGTTCTACTTAACAAGATCACATATATGTGTACTAACCTCACAAGTTTCCATTTACTCTTGGTCATGGCTTCAATAGCTTTTAAGTATATATCTTGATGACTAGATAGACACCACACATCTAATTAATTTCTCAAATTGATACCTCGTCCAAGCTATAGCAATACATTGTAATTATATTTATTCTTTATGTATATATATATATATATATATATAGATAGATATATAATTTATTTATATAATATCATGAATCAAAAGCCTTGACGATGGTATTAGCTAGAATCAAAAATTTATACACATTATAATGGCAAAAATAGTCTATCTAGTAATCTTGTTGCTAACTTGAGTTAACAATACTAATTCTTCATGCATCGCTTCTACATACAATACAACCTCAATATGTACAATATTTATAAACCACCAATGCAAAAAAAAAAAAAAAAAAAAAAAAAATGTATAAAGCTTAATAGTTCTACAATTATTTGTAGTACACTATATGTATTTGAAAAACATTGATGAAGCATTCGAGAAGGTATTCAATACAAGTGTGGAGAAAAATACTAGAAATACCAACTTTTAATCTATAATATAATACTTGGAAATATGGAATTGATGCTCAAGTATGTGTCTAGATGATAGAATAGTATTGTATAAGAATTTACATCATTGCAAAAATTAGAGTATTGATGGTATACAAAGTACCAATTGAAAATAATTTAGCTTGTGAAAGGCTTGTAATGCAAGACCACTATCCTTACTTAACAAAGCAATGATTGATGGAATTATTACATACTCAAAATTTTATTGAGGAGTCAAACAAATGGATGTTGAGAGCTATGTTGTTATACAATCCAATTATGTGCTTAAGTTCTCTTTAAAAATAGTTGCTTTGGTGAGAATAATACAAGTAGTAACTTTTAGAAACTTACACATGAAATTTGTTGACAAAGTTAAATTCAAGGTTTGAAACTAGCACCCACTTGCCTTTAATGTGTAGGAAGAAGATGGGAACTTAGATGGTTTATTTCTAATATGTGCTATGGTAATCTTTGAAAATCAAGAAAAAAACTATTAAGATAGGTGCAAATTTATAATTCTTTTTTGTCGGCTTTATCTATGTAGATCATTATAAGGAACATTATCTCTTGACCTTGTCCATTGATCAATCAAGGAAACTACTAGAAGGAGAGTTGTCATTCCCCTCCTAATATCTTCCCTCTCTCCTTCCCCCTTGTAGTTGTATTAAGTAGCAAGATCCATGTAATAACATTCAACCAATCAGAAATCTCCAAATTTTTTTAGGCTTGAGTGTAATAACTTAAGATGTGCTTGTAGCCTAAGCCTTCTGTTATTATTCTAAAAGTGATTCTTATACTTGATTTGCAATGAAAGAATAATTCTTAAAATTACCAATATATATTATTTTCCAAAAATATTATATTTAAAACATAACATATCTAAAAATTAATTTTTTATGCTCACCTTATTAATTATATAGTTACTACAAATGATATATATTACAATGAGTATTGTCATTCAGACTAAAATAGTCCTATGCAACTACAAAAATATCACTATTCATATCAAAAAATAAAACATTTACATAGATTTATTTTTTATTTTATTTTTTATTCAAAGTAATGTTTTTTTTATGGAAGTTGATGAAAAGGCAGTTCTCAAAAAGTCCAACTTAAATGCTACAATAATTCCAAATGATATAATTCCAAACCTTGGTACGTTTATAGTCAAGTGACTGCTCATTCTAGGTCCAGGTGCCACGTCGTCGCAGGGGGGCTTGCCAGGTGGATTATAGGCGGCACACGTGGACTGTATTTTGGCGGGAAGCTGAGGGTTCGGCAGCGAAGGGAGGAGCACTTCGAAGCTCCTAAGCTTACGTAGAAATTGCAACGGTTTTCGAAGCTCGACGAATTTGCAGCAGCAGCGGCGGCGATGGAGGTGCACAGGATCCCGCAGGGCCAGTACGTCGACGGCCTGCGATGGCTTCCCATTCCTTCCACACTCGCACTCTCACTCTGGGATGCCGATACAGGTCATGCCCTTGAACCCCTGGTCTCTCTTCAGACTTGCTCTTAGCTGTGGATTGAATGACTCGCTACACTCTCTTCTCCTCACTTTGATGCGCTTGGATCGTTTTACGTCGCTTACATCTCGAATTCCGTCGCGGTTTCTTGCGTTCGGGGCGTTGGATTCGATCGGTATAGGATATGAGCTGATTCAGGAACCAGTGTTTGTCTGGATTTGCAATATGGGCCATTTCCGTTGTTTCAGGGTGCTTGTGCTCTAGGGGATAATTGCTACGTGATTTCATGCGTAATGTAGTGTTAATCATTCCTCTTCTCACATGCATTTGGTGCAGAGGTTTACGGATGTGTGGGTTTAGGGTTGTGCAAGGGTAAACAGTACGCTGTGGTAGGGTTCCTTGACATGTTATTGACAAATTTGAGAAAATAACGGAGTCTTATTCTTGATAGAATCTGCATTTCACTTCCAAGAATTAAACGCGGGCTTACTTGTTTCTATACAGGGTATCAAAGTATGTTTTAAGTTCGATGTGGTTGACTTGAATACTTACGTTACTGTTAGCAGTAGCCACTTGCATTTTCTATTGTATAACCTGGGGTGTAGTCTCGGCAAGGTTGTTCATTCACGAGCAAGATTGTTGAACCATGTATGGTTCTGCTGTGCATGAAACACTGAAACTGCATTGCCCTCATGTGTTTGCAAACAGGCCTTTCCACTCTCGAAATTGCTTTCCTTCAGGATCCTGAACAAGAAGGCCAAGCACCATGGATGGAGACCCAAGCTTCCTGGGATTTGAGCACCCGCACGAGTGCAATGAAATCTTCCTCGAACCAATCCAACATTGCTCTTGCTCTAGCTTCGGAGACTGGTTCTTTGCAAGTCTTTCTTATCGATGCCATGAATCCTTCTTTGGACTCTGCACCTCTGGTTCTGGAACGCCTGCACAAGAACGTTCCATCGGCTTTGGACATCCAAAAGGATACCCTTCAGTGTGTTACGGTGGGCAGCGACGGCAGAATCAATTTGGTGCAAGTAAGAGTATCTCCCTAGATAATGTTGCATGGCCACTGACCTGCTGGGTTGTCTTACAACGCATGCTTTTTGAAACAATCTTGTGCTCTAGTTCTGCCAGATCTATTTCGACCATATCTGGGACTGTTGCGCAGGCCCGGCAGTCAGGACTACAAGGCGATTGCTTGCATGATAATCGTGGCGTGCTATCATACTCAACAGTCTGCTGGGCGTCACCTACTGAATTTGTCCTTGCAGGGCATGGGGCAGGAATTCAATGGTGGGACAATCGCCGGCCTGGTGGAGCTGTTGCTCAGTCCCCTGCAAAGTGGTAAGAGCTTGTCACAAATGAACACCACTTCAGAATGGACCTAAATAGGTAGATTAACATGTGTTATCAGCTGTTGATGCACCAGGGGAGTGTGGGTTTCAGTAATTTCTGGTACACTAAAGATCCTCAGATATCTATTGCAGAGGGGAACTGACGGGACGCAACAGGGTGGGTGCAGATGGAGTTGGTAGCATCCACACTGTAGATGTCCACCAGTCTCGCAAACATCTTTCTGTGGTAAACTATTTGTGGCGCATATTTGAATTGAGCTCATTTTGCCTCAGCTTGACCGTTTGTATTGCCTCAAAGCCTATGTGTCTTTACCGGCCAAGTCGATCCAGAAAAAATACGTGAATGAATGTCCTTTTAGGAAAATGATAAATAATAAACTTACTGAGACGAAAGCCAAACGTTGATGCAAGGCATTGATACAAACGTTGATACAAACACTGAAACGTGAATACCTTCTCCACTTGGTTTACTCAAACTTCAACAGTCTGTTCAGTCACTTTTTGGAGGCAAAAATAGCTCGTTGTGGTGTTAATTATCAACAATACTAGCGTGTAAGAATGTTTGACCAATCAACATGCGATTAAACACAAGGCATCTTTGTAAAGGTGGGAGGCTCAGGAGGAACAGTCCTGGCATGGGATTTGAGACGGCAAAATGAGCTCCACTCTCTTGCAGGAAGGGGCTGTAAGAGTGGCTCCAGCACAGGTGCAGAGGGTGAAATCTGGAACGTGAAACTAGATCCAGCGCTGCAAGTAGGCCAAGGCGAGTCCGGAAAGATACCTCCGGTCTTGATGTGCTCTGAAGATGGCATTCTTGCTCTTATTGAGTCTGGTTTGTACCCGCTCCTGAACACCCTAGTGTATTTTATGGATGTATTTAGTGCTGTGCATTGATGTAGGTTAGCCTGTTTTTTGAAATGTGGTTTTTGAAGGACATTTTTTCAGGAGTTATTATTTTGAGTTATTATTTAGGAGTTATCTTAAGCATATTCCCTTGTAACTCATGAGCATGAAATAGTTTTACATTAATTGCATCAGCAATAACTGATGAAATTATGTGTTTAACTTATCAGGAATGACTACGGAGTTGGCTGTGGAATCATGTGCTATAAATAGCTTTGATGTTGACTTAGAACTCGGATCTGTCAGTATTCTAACCTCTCAACTGCCCTTCTGTTTCTTAGCGTTTATTTCTTTTGTAACCTAAATCTGCTTCAGAATGTTCTTCAGCACAGTTCTCTTTTCTAGTTTTTGGATTGGTGTTTTTTTGAATTACGAGTTATGTTGGTTTTGCAGGAAATAGTGTGTGCTTTGGAGCATGAAAGTGTGTTGTACGTCAAACGATCATCGTAGTTTTATGAGAAATATATAGTACATCAGAGCTCAACTCTTTTCTCGATTGGGAGTTCTGTTAGTAGTATCAAAGTTTTATTCGCTATGGATTATTTTGTTACAGGAAACTGGTGCAAGTTTTTGAGATCAAGCCTGAGTAAAGAAGTGGTCGAGAAGTGCGAGTCTGTAGAATGAATTACACGTAGGAGCAAAGAGCTAGCATACCACAAGATTATGTTTTTTTGACTTGTGGAAGGAATCCATGCCTATGCCTTCGAGGTAGTGACATGTTTTCGAAGTGGTATGGCTGATTGAACCAGAACATGATTCTCAAGTTCAAACCTGGTGTTCATGTATTCACTTCAGCTTGATGTGAAGTGATTAACTCTTTCATTCAAGTAATCACCATACTATTTCTGTTCAAATATTGAAATGAAGATTGACGTAATATTTGAAACTTACAATTTAAATCCTTCATAAAAAATCAAAAATCAAGAGATCAAAACAAGAGTTTTAATTTTATGATATGTATGTATGTATGTATGTATGTGTATATATATATATGCATATAGCTAATGTAGTTGTATTTGTTGCAAAATTGATTTAAATGCAAAAATTTAGAATTTGTAGTAAATATATCACAAATATTAGATATAGAATTAATAATAGCTTTTTTCAATTGTAACATTTTAATTTAATTATACTTTAGTAAGCTATAAGAATTTATCAAAAATTATTTGAAAAAATATATTTAATTTTAAAGTTTGGAATTACACAATAAAAATAAAATTATGTAATATATATATATATATATATATATATATATATATATATATGCACTTACATATATATAAGAATAAAACTTAGATGCCTTTTACTTAGAGGACAAAGTGAGTGAACTTAATTTTTAATTTTTTAATTTTTTTGAAAATGAGAAGTTTTCTTTAATTGCCATTATATCTCCAAAAGTAATTCAAAATGCTTTAAGAAGAAAAAATAAAGTACAATAAATTTATTTCTCTGCATGGTATAAATAGTGGTGACTTTTGAGATTTCTAATAGACTAATCTAAAAGAAGTAGTTTTTAAAAAAATTGAAAAGCCATGTGATTTAATACATAAAATAATTATTTTTTAAAATATATATATATATATATATATATATATATATATATATATTTATAATTTTTTGAATCTAGATTTAAATTAATACATTATGGAACAAGATATAAATAAGAAATTTGTATAAGAATAGATAGTTAGAACTGTGGAAGTTTTTAGAATTAGGATTAGGTTAGTAGACCAAGTAGGACCCATTATTGAACATTCTAGAAAGAATTTAGGGCGGTTATTTAGATGGGGCCCACCATAGAACCTTGTGAAAAAGAGTTTAAGGCGATTATCTAAGTGGAATCTACCACTTAAGAACATTCTAGAAAGTCCAAGGTCTTTTGAGGCATCTAATTAGATATGGCTTTAGACCCTTTCTCCTAATATAATTGGATTTTGTATCTTCGTATTTTATTATATTTTGTCTTAATTCCAATCTCTTACTTTTGTCTTCTGTGTCTCATTTTGTTTGCTTCTGTTCACTTTTGTTTTCGTCCAATTTGTCCTACTTTGTAATGAAGTTTTATATTACTGTGGATTAAAATGATCTTGAAGACTTGAGATAGATTGGTCATGTTCCATTGATATTAAAATCACTGTTAGACTACTTATTTTTAGTAGTGTATCAATAATCATCATCTAAACTAAGGTCAATTATCGTGGTCACACTGGGTACTGCATTGAGGCTACCACAAGCTACTCTTAAAAAATCAACTGGGAGGTGAGAAGGCATTACAATAGTGGAGTCTAACGGAAAAATTAAAGCATGAGAGATATGGCAAAGCAATTCTAGATGGAGGCTCAAAATCCAACATTTCTTAGGCCATATAGCTACTTTGCAAGGGCAAATAGAAGCCTCAAGGACAAAGGAGTTGACATTTGCTAGGCTGAAATTGAGTAAGCTTAGAACATAGTCTAGGACTTTAATACAAGAAGATGTATGTCAATGGCTCTTCAACATGCGATAATACCTCCATCTATCTAAGGCAAATACTTCTAAAGGAATTACATATGTAGCAAGTTATTTGAGAGATGCACCAGCCATTTGGTGTCAATATCAAATTCAAGGCTATATAGGTCAAGGTGGATTTTGTGATTGAGAGGAATTTGAGACCGAGTTTAGAAATCAATTTTGATCCATCAATGCAGAGAAGATAGTTGGCGATCAATTGAGAAATCTTACACAATCTAAGTTAGTGCAAGATTATGTCATTCAATTCAAGTCCCTATGTCTTCAATTTGGCAATATTTTTGAGGCAAAGATAATAGATCAATTCCTACAAGATTTAAAACATGGGATCTAGTGAGAAGTAGAGCTAAGAGATCCACAAACATTCAAAGATGCAATTCAGATTGTAGAGAGAGTCGATGCTATAGATTTTAGAAATTGTGGAGCATGACCTATAACACAAAGTTCTATGCCGCTATCTAATATTATGGTACAACAATCAATATCAATGGAAATTGATGCCTTACAAGAATCATTAACACCACAAAGACAACAAATATTGATGCAAAAGGGATTGTATTTCTATTGTTGGGAGCCAAGCCATCAGATCGGAGATTGTTCAAAATGTCAAAATTCAAGCACTAATAAGACAAGGTGGATTCACAATCTTAAAACTCATCAAGTCGATAATGAAACAAAGCAGAAAAATAAAGCTTCTCAGTAAAGGTGCCAAGGACTAGTACTGAGAATAGCTACTGTTTCTCAGAGACAAATGGCATGGCCTTGAACAATTATAAAAAAAATTGACTAATACATCTAATGAGACTTCTAAGAAGACAATTATGTCGAATGCTTATAGATTGTGGCTCTACAAAAAACTGCATGATAATTATAGATGTCGATGGGCTTGGAATTAAAACTAAGGCAATCAAGAGAAGAAGTATATACCTTGCACATGATTGAGAGAACATATTGAATAAGACCTATGAAGAAGAAACCTTAAAGTTGACTAACATCTTTGTCTTAAAAGAGAGGTTTAAGGTGACAAAGTTAAGATATGATATTATCATTGGTATGCCATGGCTAGAGATAGAAAATAAGTAAGTTGATTAGATAGCAAGGACAATCTTCTTTAAAGATTGTAGATGCAAGGTGATTCTTTGTACCTCAGCATCTAGTAAAGAGAAAAGACAATCTGCAACCAAAGACTTACTCATAGGGACAACCTTTATAAAGAAGCAAATACAGCATAAACAATTAGTATATATGGTGGTTTCAAATCTTATATCAAGAGTAGGAAAGATAATCAAAGGAATAAAATGGGCAGATCAATTTATACGAAAATATCAAGATGTCTTTTCAATTGATTTACCTAATGGCATGCTTTCTGATCAAGGTGTCTCTTTTCAAATAAAACTATTGCTTAGAGCTAAACCAATAAGTTGACCAATTTATCACCTAATATCAAAAGAACTTGAAAAGCTATAAAAGATATTTGACAAACTCTTACAAAAAGGCCTCATTCAAAAAAGCACATCACTATGAAGAACACTTGTATTCTCTGCACCTAAGAAAGATGGTGGACTTTGTCTTTGCATCGACTATCAAAGCCTCAATAAGCAAACTATTAAAGATACATATCCACTTCCATGCATGGATGATCTTTTTGACTAACTTTGAGGTACAATCATCTTTACTAAATTAGATCTTTGTAGTGGCTATTGAAAAATACTTATTGCAAGAGAGGATGTAAAAAAGATGACATTTTTTAAGCACTATGGATATTTCAAATGGTTGATTTTACTTTTTGGCCTCACCAATGCTTCAACATCTTTCATGGGTCACATGAATAGATTATTTTAGGACCTTTTGTCAAGGACAAGAACTTAATAAAGACAAATAAATAAGTGGGACTTCTCTCAAAGAAAGATGAAAAAATAGAAATAACTCAATATGTATATTAAGAAAGAAACTAGAATGGCTATTGCCAAAAGACAAGAAAATTAGAGACCCTTGAAACTAGACTAGAAGCAAGAAAGGAATTGATAAGAGTGAAGAGGGCTTCAGTCATGGCTCTATATATACTATCTAACTAGGGGCTATGTGGCAATGTTCTATAGGACCTCCAATATGTATTGACTTTGTAGAACACATGCCTTAACTTACAAGGCAAGTTTTTCTATGTGTGGGCCACATAGTTAGTTTGGTCTTCAAGCTAACAACATGTATGGTACATGGCCAACTTGTTGACCACATTTCTAATCTAAAAAGTCAATTGAAGATTCTTATAAAGTCAAAGTAATATCTATGAAGCTTTTAGAAAGCTTCTATAGAAAATATTATAGAATTAACTTACTTTTATCTATTTTTATTTATTTCTACCTATTTATACATGTAAATACTGGCTTACATGTGTATGTCCATGATACCTTTTGGACAAATATATAATCTTCTCATTGATGATATCTTTGTATATAATAAAACCTTTGAAGAGCATGAACAATACCTTCAAGAAGTATTGCATCAGCTGTACAATAGTCGCTTCTATTGCAAGCAATCAAAATGTGAACTTTGGAAGTCAAAAGTCACCTTTTTGGAGCATGTAGTGTCTTTCAAAGGCATAGTTATGGAACAAGATAAGATGAAAGCAATAGAGGATTGGCCAACTTCCAAGGATGTTTCTGAAGTCGGCTCATTTTTAGGCCTTGTTAGATACTATCACTATTTTGTTCCATAATTTGATGATATTGTTGCTTCATTAACAAACCTACTAGAAAAAGGTGCTTCATTTGATGAAAACTGGAGTAGCAAAGGGCCTTTGATAAGTTGAAGGAGGCACTCATTACTACTCCAATATTGCAACCATATGATCCTAATCTTCCTTGTATACTTCACATTGATGCTTCCAACTTTGCTATTGAAGTGGTCCTTCAACATGACTTTTGTAGGGACCTTCAATTTGTGGTATATAAATCATGCAAGCTTAAAAGGACAAAGTACAATTACTATGCTTGTGATAGAGAGCAATTAGCGATTGTACATATGACAAAGGTGTAGCAACACTATCTCTTGAGGAAGCCAATGGTTGTTTAGACTGACCATTGACTCTAGCTATACAATTTGTATCTAAAAAATATGAAATCACTACATTATCATTGAGAAGAAAAATTATAACTTTTTTATATCCAGCTTGAATATAAGCAAGGGCAACAACATATTGTACCATGCAACTTATTATGGAGATTGGACTTGAAGGATGAATCAAGAGATAAGACAAAATTTACTACTATTAATAGTATTATTTTAAATCTAACCAAAGAGGCAAAATAGAAAGAAATAATGCATTGGGATGTTTATTTCAAGATTGTTAGTGATTGATTGAAGGTGGGCGATATACAGTATCAAGATTAAATTCTTAAAGATGGCTTATTCTGTTTCAAGAAACATATTTATGTATTCAACAATATTATACTTTACATGTGCATACTTCAAGAATGACATGACATTCCAATATTTGGACATCTATGACAAAAGAAGACTATAGAATAGATCTCAAGGACATGATTTTGGATAAGTTTGGATCATGATTTTTTAGCCTTCGTATATTCCTACAAGTCATGTCAATGTAATAAAGCATGCAATATAATATCTCTTAAACTATTGTAGTTAATTTTGCTACCTACAACATGTTGAAAGTAAGTGACTATAGATCTCATTACGTCTTTGCTACAAATGCTTCATAATTATATTGTGGTTACAATCTTTATAGATTGACTCTTGAAGCAACTTCACTTGTGCGTAGTACACTCAAATATTCATGCCCTAGCGCTTGCATGAGTCTTCTTTGATACTGTCTTTCGTCACCATGGATTACTTCGTATCATCATTTCATATCAACATCCATGCTTCATGGAAAGTTTTTAGCAAGCCTTTTTCAAGCTACTAGGCACACAACTTGCCATGTCTATAGTCTTTCATTTCTAAATAAATTGGTAATCAGAGTATGCATATCCAATTTGAGAGGATATGCTATGGACATTTGTGGTGGTTTATCATAATGATTGAGATGAATACTTGATGTTTTTAGAATTTTCTTACAATAATAGTATTCAAGCTAGTACCAGTCATTCACTATTTTTTCTTAATACCGGTTAACATCTAATTACACCAGCAACTCTTCATTGTCTCATCGACACCAATAATCTGATAACAAAGGAATTTATACAATGGCTTAGAATGGCCTTATAAAAAGCACGGCATTACATCTTTTGTATATAAAATCAAGAAAAGTAATATGTAGATAACCATCAGTAACACAAGATCTTCCAAGATGATAATCAAGTATTATTCTCCAATGCCAACTTGCCATTTACTACTTCAATCCAAATTTGTAAACTAGTACTTCAATGGCTTGGACCTTTCCACATTTCTACAATAATTTTTGATATTGCATATCGCCTCAAGTTTCTACGACATATTTGGGTCTATCTAGTCTTCTATATTTTGCAACTGAAGGAATTTTATACTAAGCCAAAGCGCTTTCCGGATTGACATCAACCACCACCACTATCAATTGTAGTTGATGACCAATAAGAATATAAAGTAGATAGCATTTTGGAGCATTGCTACCTTGGTTGTGGTAGTAGACATCTACAACTTTAGTACAAAGTTCTTTGAAAAAGTTATTCCATTCATGATAGAATGTGGAAACCTACAGAAAACCTCACTCATTGCCAAAAGACAATTTTGAGATACTATCATGAGCAAAACAAGGACGTCTACATTAGTGGAGGGAGATTAATTGTAATAGGATATAGATAATATATTTATATTGGAATAGATAGTTAGAACCATGGAAGTTTCTAGAATTGATGTTAAGTTAGTGAATCATGTAGGATCTATCATTGAACATTCTAAAAAGAATTTAGGGTGGCTATTTAAATGGGATCCACTACTTAAGAACAATCTAGAAAATCCAAGGTAGTAGAACAAAGTATAAATAGGACTGGCTAGGGCCTTTTGGAGCATCTAGTCAGGTATGGCTTTGGACCCTTTTTCTTAATACAATTGGATTTTATATCTTCATATTTTATTCTGTTTTGTCTTAAGTCTAGTTCCTCAATTTTGCCTATTGTGTCTCATTCTATTTGGTTCTATTTAATTTTATTTTGGTCTAATTTGTCCTACGTTATAATGAGGTTTTATATTGTTGTGGATTAGAAGGGTCTTGAACACTTGAAATAGACTGTACCTATTTTATACTACGACTTGTAATAAAAGAGTGATTTCATCTATTTCAAGGTTTTTTTTAGTTTAAACCACATCTAAAGAATAAAGCTTCAAAAAGAGAGTTATTTACTAAATTATGGACCTTGATAAGGCTTTTGAACCATCGCTTTTCAAATTGGGGTTTTAGGTATAAAGTACCTCTTTTGTTAATTATCAATCTTGTCAAATCTTCTATCTTTATTTGTATAGTTTTTACAATTTTTAAACTTCTTATATCTTCATGATAATTAATATGTTTTATTTATATGTATTTAATTTCTTTTTTGTTTATACTTCTTATTCTTTATACATAAAATTATTTATTTATAATTATATTTTAGATTCTATATCTAATATTTCTTCTTTAGACTTAATACTCTTATATAGAAACAAAAGCAAATAGATTGACAATTATAAAGAACAAAGTCTATTTCTAAAAAATAACAAGTTTTAAGAAATAGATGCAAACAAAAAAAATATAGAATCATCAAGTCAAAAACTTCTAAAAATTAGAAATAAAGAAATCATAAGACAGTTTGTTGATCGAATTGTAATACAATATTATGGCAATTTTTAGAATAAATATTAATGTTTTAAATATTATCTTAAAAAATTATAGTATTGATCAAATATTTATAAATTATATATATATATATATATATATATATATATATGCTAAGACCATCAAATTTGAAGCTTATAATGTATTGCAATTAAAATTATGCCTTGTGGCTAAGTGTGCTATTAACTTAATAATAAAACATAGAATTAAGTTTCATAAGATATTTGATTGAATATTTTGTATTTTTTTTAAATAAATTTTAATTTTTTAAATATAATTATTATTTTTATGAAAAAAAATTACAAGTATTTGATTTAATATTTTAATTTTTTAAAACTTCAAGTTTAAAATAAAATTTTAATATTGGATTTTTTTATATCAATGCTAGTAGTTAAATCCATTGGCTTTGCCAACATCAAGTAAGTTTTTGGCAGCCAATCAAAAATATATAATAAATAAAATAAAATAAAAACACAATATACCTCAACAGCTGATTAGTGGCTCTTATTGAATTTTAAAAAAAAAATGAATTTACAAAATAATAAAAAAAAAAATGGCACTACATGAACTAAGTGAAAGTTGGATTCATTTGCATTGTTGTTGCCACCAACTTAGCTCGTCCCATCCTCTGATCTTAATAAATTGGATACTTTGGAATAACTAGGTTGAGCCTGTAACTGGGTTTTACCACCCTAATGCTCCAACCAATGGAATTTTTTGACACTTCAACTAATATAGGCTAGTCAATATATATATATATATATATATATATATATATATATTATTGTATTTAAATAGATTTTATGAATTATCATTTTTGTAATCCTTTTATATTTCTATATATGTCCAGAATGTGAATAAAGTCTACTATATTCTTCATTACAAAATGCTTACAATATTGATTTAAAATGATGGTAAGAAATCCAAAAAGATTACTTTGAAAACAAAATTCGTAAATAAAATTTGGTGCAATGAGAATGTTAACAAAAGTTGAACATCAATTATTTTTAACATAGTCTAATCAAAATTAATATTGTTTCAAAATCCAAGTTACTTCAATACTATTTTATAATATCTGTTAAATCTAGAATTGCTTCTTTTCATTATATTAAGATATCAAAGTTTTGAATTCCACTTTACCTTTATATGTACTTCTGAATCAGAATAATTATTCAGAAAAAGAAACATTCCTAGAAGCATCAAAAACGCTAAAAAGTGCAATGTACACTAATTAATAGATGTAATACAATAAAAATATCAATAGCACATGTGTAAATTTGTGAATGAATGATAAAAATCCATATCAAGAACAAAAAGATATTGTCAAAAAACCCATGTCTAAAAAACCTTTCAGCCATAATAATATCACTTATTCTGCAAAAAATTGTAAAATTTAACTTATCCTTTGCTTTAATCAACCAATTAAGGGTTAATTTAATGCTTCAATTTCTAGGGTTCTTATAATCTGGAAAGGATTTTTAGGGTTTGTCCTTGGGTTTCTCCAGATTCGCACCATTGTTGTTCCCTTGACATTCGAGATTGGAATTGTTCCCCGAGTTCCCGAGTTTGTCCCCAATGATGTTCTTTATGGCTCGCCCGAGCGCATCCAGCGAGGATCGCTTGTCCCGCGTGGCACCCTTCGACGTGGTGCTCTCCGCGTCCAGCGTGGCACGGTGGTACCGACACATCAGCTCCCGCAGCCTCGACGTCTCCTCCCCGAGGGACTCGAAGACGTCGGACTCGCCGACGCGCCAGCCCCAGTTGCCGGCCTGCGTCGCTGGGATGTTCATGCGCGACGCGCTGTCCAAGCCCATCACGTCTTGCATGGAGACGATGCTGGTGCGCGCCACGGACGCCACAGCGCCGCGGATGAACTCCCAGTGCACATCCGCGTCGCCCTCGAAGCGAAGATGGGCCCTCGCGACCTGCTTCTCCGCGTCGCTGGCCTTCTTCCACCACCCCACACACGTGTCGTTGTCGTGGGTCCCGGGGTACACGACCTGATCGAGCTCGTGGTTGTGCGGGAGATGGGGGTTCGCGGCGTTGTCGCTGAAGGCGAACTGCAGCACCGCCATGCCCGGTGCCTTGATCTCCTTCCGCAGGGCGATCACGTCCCCTGTGATGATGCCCAGGTCCTCCGCGATCACGTCGATCTTGCCCACGGCTTCTCTCATGGCTGTGAAGAACGCGCTGCCCGGGCCTGCCTTCCACTTCCCTCCCATCGCATTCTGTGCCGTGGCTGGGATCGCCCAGTAGCCTGCGAATGCGCGGAAGTGGTCGATTCGGAACTCGTCGTAGAGCTCGTACGCCCGTCGTAGCCTCGTGGCCCACCATGCGTATCTGTCTTTGGCCATTTCTTTCCAGTTGTACAGAGGGCTCCCCCACAACTGCCCCGTTGCACTGAACGCGTCGGGCGGCACGCCGCTGACTTGCATGGGTACTCCGGTTTTTGGGTCTAGTTCGAACAGTGCCCTGTGAGCCCAAACGTCTGCCGAATGGCCTCCTATGTATATTGGCATGTCGCCGAGGATTTTGATGCCCGCGGCGTTGGCGTACTTGTGGACGGATTGCCATTGACGGTGGAAGAGAAATTGGGCTGCAATGAAGTTGTCGATGTCGCTCTTGTGTTTTATGCGGACTGTCTTCATGGCATTTGGATCTCTGTCTCGAAGTTGAGTTGGCCACGTCCACCACGTCTTCGCGAGTGTGCATTGATCTATAGAAGCAAACAGTGCTGCATCTTCCAACCACACAGAGATCTTCGGGTCCTTTCTGAACCTTTCTAACTCTTCTTTGAGTTTTCCTGAGCTTTTGCTCACAAGTTTAGCTGCGGCTTTCAATATGAGAGGATTTTTTATAGCCGCGACTTTGGAAGAATCCATACGTTTCACTGGAAGAGGTTTCGGCAGATCAGTTTTTTCCAACAATCCGTCTTTCACGAGTTCCTCTAAAGAAATGAGTAAGGTGTTTCCACAATTGGCATTAGATCCGGCGTATGGTGAACCATCTTCTCCTCCTCTTGTTCCCGGAGGAACTAAAGGCAAAACCTGCCAGACGGTGCATCCAGTTTCTTTCAACCAATCTAAGAATCTATACGTGTCCTTGCCGAAGTCTCCAATTCCATTAGGTCCTGGCAATGAAGTTGGATGTAAAAGAATGCCGCACCTTCTTCGAGGTGCTTGCTTCAGGGGATCATCATCTTGATACTTCGCAGGCAAATCTTCTCCTATTCCTACACCTAATTTCCATTTCTTCATCCTCACTGAATTTTTGTCAAAATCCATGACAGATAACCAAGATCTTGATCCATTTGTATAGTTGAATGGGTTGGGTAAATACGAAACTGTAGGCGGTATAGTTGTGAAGAATTGGTGATTATTCTGAAACACTGTTGAGTGCAAAGCAACGGCTGCGGCTTGCAGAAGACGAGAATGATTCTTTCTCAGCTTCTTCGTTGTTCTTGAAGTTCTTTCATTGTTGCTCTTGCAACAAGACATAAAATCTTTTGATGTGAGAGCATTAAAGAACTCATGTTGGAAGCACTCTCGCTTGAAAAAATTGGTTGCGTCAGTAGGTTTTCCGAATTTGAAGTGTTGGCCTCGTTGAATTTTAACAGCAGAGAAACATAGTTCACCTGGAGTAAGAGTTTGGTTGCCCAGCACAAAGTAGTTTGCGTTTGTAGGTTCTTTTTTCAGTGCTTCACAATGCACCAAAGAAAGTCTTCTTGTCGGTAAGCTCTTCGTACACTTCACTGACAGTATGGAAGACTTTTTAACTTTCTCGAAACATTCGAAAATAATGGCAGAAGGATTAAAATACGGGTTTGTCGAACACAACTCCATTGAAAAGGTTGATAAAGCAACTCAGACAATCATTTTTCTCTTCCGCCAATGGTTAATCTTGCTGAAAAGAACCACTTTATCGTTTTGCTTCTTACCATTGAAATTTTATTTGAAAGCTTTGAACTTTACATTACTGTGTTACGTTCTTCCATCTCCGGTTTCTCATCATATGTGAATGACAAGATGTTCTAACTATTTCTTTTTTTGAAGAAAGAAAGAGCATTAAAAAATCTGTTACTAAGCATTTGCTCAAATTCCCTTCATTGAGGCACGCGAAGGGAAATCGATACTCATATTCGAGCCAACGGTTACACGTGCTACAAACTATGCAACTCTTCATCATGTCTATTACCATCCACAAACCACTTCAACTCCCATGAGACTCTCCCACAACTGCCAGGCAACAGATTTCAGGACAGCTCTTGGAACCACGTGGGTTGTCGATGTTGCGCTCCGAATGTGATGAGGGTCTGCGTCCAACGAAGATTTCGATCTCGTAGGAACCTGCTGCAGGTACTTGAAAGAAATTAGCTTTAGGATCTTGACAAGCATTAGTTCACTTGAAGCTCTGCAACATTCCAGGTGACGCAGTTGTTGACAACGAATTACTCCATATCACACCACTGGCAAATTCGCAAGATTTGCAAGGCTGCATTTGAGAAATGAGCACCTTAACGTGGATAGTCTAGCAAAAGAGCACCACTCCGCTTTGAATATTTCTGAAGGACGAAACCACTTCAAAGGGAGAATGCGGTGTTGATGTTTGTTGTAGAATGCGGAGCAAGAACGATAAAGACACATTGTCGACGTAAGTCACTCTCCACTTCAAACCTCGACTCTTCATGACGACCCTCTGAGGGCTGACTAAATTGTTTCACTTGATACTGAACAACTTTTTCGAGACCAACCGGTGAATTTACGAAGAGTGCGCAGGTTGGCTCTTCATGGATCCTTGTATCAGTAGGAGGATGTCATTAGTTCAAATGCAAATATTGAGTGTGAGCCAAATTGTGATATCTAAATCCTCGCTGAGTATCTTCTTTTGCAGTTTACTTTTCTTGCATTCAGAGACCTAAATGACAACTTTGACAGTTTGAAAACCACCCTTACAACAAATTACACCTTGTATTCATTGTTAGCAATATTCTAAGAAAGAATTGTCCAGTTAGCTTTTCCATTGTCGGGGGTTTGTCATTGAAGCAAGTGGCTTAACCATCCCGCTCAAATATTCCAAGGGAGTTTTAAACGAAAAAGATTTGCAAATGAAAATGTCGAATGCATCTGTACATGGCAACCTTAAGTGTCGAATGCATTTGAAAAAGCACGGCAACTGGTAACTCAGCCAAATGTGATTTGGAAAGAAATGAAGGCAACATGTCAAGCATGGCAAATTGGACACCACAGCAGGGTGAGAAGTACAAATCCGAATACATAGAACCGACAAGTTTTGGAGGTTGATAGGAGATGGCCACAAGATCACCAATTGTAGCGGCGACCAGGTGAGCGATCCAAATTTTATGTAAAAAATGGCGAATAACTCACTAGCTATACATGAGTAAATGCCAAGGCAGTTTCAAACCTCGGACCGAGTCACTAAATCGCTTACGTTACATCTGTTAATCTGCACATCAATATCCACGACGGCCCAATGTAGGCCTCCTGCAATAAGAAAATCCTCGACAGGACATCTCGAGATCCGCTTGGAGCAGCAGGGTTCGAGAGAGAGAGAGAGAGGAGCACAATTTGACCTCACACCTGCGAGACCTTAACAAGGAAATGGTTATAGCGGCCGTAGTGCGTTTCGACAACTGGTTTTCTTGTTCTCCTGATGCAAACACTAACTTCCACGTTTGCAAGTCTTGTGTGACCGTAGTTGCACCAGGATCAGAGCGCGAAACGCCCGATTGTACATAGGCGCCTTCAGAACATAATGTCGGAGTGAAGGATTGACTTAGGTCAAACGGATATCATCCTCAGATAATAATGCACATCGTGTGAAGAGTTGTCCCAGAACTTGAAGCTTAGGCCACCAGTCGAAAATTCCGCTTCCAATGTGTCGGTTCTCCAGAGGAGCTGGAGATCAATACCACTCGATCTACGATACATTCAGCTCGAACATTGAACAGATATTGAAAATGTTAGCTAAAAGTGAGCATTCAGTCACTTGACCACACAGCAAGCTTCGACATGCCTCTGTCGCCAGAAGAAGACAGCGAAAGAGCGCTACTTCTATCTTTTCCTTTCACCTTCAGCTGGGCGTTGCCGTGACCCGAGCCCTTGAATCCATTCGCGAGGACATGGATAGCACAACCGCAGTGCCGGTGGTAAGGGTGTTTCGAGTGAGAAGAAGTCGAGCATGCGCTGCACCCCAACATCGACGGCATGCTGGGACCTCCACAACCCATACTGCCACAACCCTCCATTGCCACTCAAACCAAAGAACGCCACAAAACCTCCAAAAAACGCAAAAACGTAACTTGTTCTACGTTATCGATCGAACCCAATACTTTGAACCCTTCCACGACGCTTGCTTATCAAGCGCCTCCGAGAACTCACCCACGAAACTGAACAATATACCTACACACAACACGAGAAAACCCGACACTATTCTTCTCTAAATATATTTTGCTGAGCAATCACGAAACGCCTGCACTGAAAACCAAACTCCAGCTGCTTCCTCGCCGATCAACTGCCTCGACCGAATCAAACACAGGCCCCTCTCTGCACCCCTCTAATCCTCAGACTCGCTTACTTAACAACAGCTCAGATCGGAGTAGCCAGATCGGTAGAGCCCTAATGGTTCGGTTCAATACAAAACTGCAAACAAGCGAAGGCGGTGGCCAGCAGCTCTTGACAACTGAAGCGCGCTGCGATCGCTAGACACAAGTTGGAACTGACAGCTTGGGCAAGGTACCCTCTTAAGGGAATGAACTACTGGCAACAGCAGTTGTTGGTCCCAACGCTGCAGCCATCAATGCCATGGAAAAGCAAACGCGCCTTGTATAGAAAAACAAAACGCAAGAGGGCCGAAGCCGACACACACACGGTGAATCCGGCGAGAAATCGCCGACAGGTCACCCCCCGACACGAACCCGTGCTGATATACACCGACCCCTCTCTGTGGTTCCCATGACCAGGTCTCGGGATCTCCGCATTAGGAACGGCAGGGGTGAGCTGGAGTGCCGAGCTGGAACGGTCCCCCATCACCGACCTCCTCCACATGGCGACACACTGCTATCTGGAACCTGATGCGCTGACACTCTGACACGCTGACACGCTGACACGAGGTTGTCGACGAAGCGCTCGTCACCTGAGAACAGCTTACTTGGTCTTAGTTAATTTACACCTCAGTTATTTTTTGCATAGGTTTTAGGCTTTAGGTGTTGGAGTGAGTGGGTGGCCAGGGTCACTGGGTCCATAAAGGACTTGTAAATGGAATCCCATCATGTGCATGGGTCAAGGGAGAAACTACCCATAGACTTACTTGCACCATGGAGGAGGAATGTTTAGTATATGTTCATCCAAATCCAATAAATTTTGGCTCTTTTGACTTTCTTTGGTATGCCTACTTATCATGGTTGTTGAAAAGGTGGTGAGCCCAAGTAAAAATGCTTGGGTTGAAAACCATGCAGCATACAAAGTAAACAACTGTAAGAAAAAAGAAGAATGGAATAAATTCCTCTTTTCGATGTTGAAATTGAAACCTAGAACCTAATTTTTGTGAATGCCCTCACCCATTGTAGTCTCTCTATATGATTTTTTTTTATAAATGTTTTTATTTTGAAACACATACACATATGCACACATAAAAATGGATCGTGCTCAAATATCATCTTGTAAATGATGACTTGGTTGTAGCACACATCTATAAAATATAAGTCTTCAGATTGCTTTGCCAAAGTATGTTATATGGTGCATGAAATAAGAAATTATATAGATAATGAGTACTTAAAATTGCACAAAATAGATTGTTTTTAAGTTTATGCATGCATGTATATCTATACATGTTTTATGATTAGATAAAAAATTGTGCTCAAAATAACAATATTTTGAGATAAAGTTAAATGAACATTGTACATTTCAATGTTTTAAAATCATTCTTATTATTATTTGAGGTACAATAAGATAATTTTTAAATTAAATATTCATGTAGACCCTTGGATAATTGGTATTTCATATAGATAACATGATATTTTTTATTCATAAATAGTAATTTGACAAAACTAAAAAAAGTAATTAGTCAAAATACTGATATAATAAAGTACATACACACACATGTTCTATATCTTGAATTTAAACATAGCTACCTTGTGAAAACTTTTTCAAAGGGAGTAGTAGAAATGTTAGTTTTGTAAAAGGTTTCAATATTGTACACCCCAGTAGCTAAAAAATGATAACATTGACACCAGAGCAATAAATTGGTAGGCATGTGATATGGACATGAGAACATCAAAAGAAGAAAATTGTTGGTAAAGTTGGTTTCACATTTAGACATTTATAGATCCATTTGTGGGTAACTACTAGTCAAGGAAGTAGGTGCTGCCTTTAAAGGAGTAAGAGGAGGGAAGCAAAAAACAAACAAAAAACACAAACAAAAGAAAACAATTGAGTATGGAAAGTGCTTTGACAGTATTGAATATCTCCGTTTATATTGAATGTTAATTGTTTGATATAGTTATTCTTTATATTTGTGAAGGATCAATAAATATTTTTGCTACTAGATTATCATTCAATTCAAACTTTGTACACCTTTTGAGTAATAAAGATTTGACATTGGAAAAGTCAATGTGATTACAATTATTGTGACGATGACTCATCAAGTTAATCAAAGTTCTTCACTGACACCGTTAGAAATAATTTCTCAACAACATCAATAAACAATTGTTTAAATATAATATGTGATACTTCAAACTATAGATGCTGATACACAGTTGGTTGATTTTAAGGAATGAATATTACTTAAAAAGATTATAACTTGAATATGCAAAATATGTTTTTTAATAGTTGTTCCTTTGCAAACGACATGAACTACAATATTATACTGTAAAATCTAATTTCATATCCATTACCTCCGTTACATAAAATGAGAAATAAACTTAAAATTGGTGGGTGTTTTTTCTTATAAGTTTAACAAATTAAATACTCTAAAAAGTCAATCTCATTTGATTAGTGTTTTTAGACCTCTTTTTTAGTTCAAAATTTGAATCATTGGGAAGATCCAAAACTTATCAAAAAAAATCTCACATAATATATATATATATATATATATAAATCAAATTATGACTTTAAAACTTTGTTCAAATCCAATTCCACCTCACCTTTGTTAAAGACTTTGTCAAGAGTGGAATCAACTTGATTGACTCCCATTTTGGCATTATACATCATATCTATTGCTTAGAGAAATGACCACCAATAAAACTCATTGGAAAGCGGAGAAAGCTCCTCGGAACTTTTTGGAATGGAAAAGTTAGATCCTTGTAACTTTGTGAGCTAATTGCATTTATTCCATTGCCTTATCCATATCTCCCAAAAAGTATAGTGAAACGTAATAAAAAATCAATATATAGATATATGTATGTATGTGTGTTTGGGGAGAGGGGATGGTAAGTACTTCAATTCAACAAAGAAATTATACAACTTATACTAAAACTTACAATGATTAATTTAAAAATGTTTGTGTATGTGTGTTTTTGGACTTGACACCATATATATATTTTTTGGTTTTTTGGATTTTTTTTTTTTTTTTTTTTTGAGTACAATGTAGACAAGTTCGTATGCCACCTTAAATTTGTTTTTGCAAACTTTTTGGCTTGTTCTATTATATGTTTACCAAGTTTATGTTTATCCATGTCCAAAAATATACTTTTTAGCTATCTGGAATCACTTAAAAAACAAATAAATGAAAATTCTACCACTTAAAAATTATATCTTTCAAAAGGTGTACAGCTCCATCTAAGTGTTAATTGTATTAATATTAATGTGGTTGTATGTCACTTTGATTTTTTGATTTTTTTGATTTTTTTTGAAAATGGAACCATGACAATGGCATCAAAAGTCACACATTATATTGATACTGAGTTCTATTTATATATTTAACATAATAAGGAACAAGAGCAATAAATCTTTTACTTCCATCACACAATTTTTACATCAACTTTAGTATCCAACATATATTTGTATGAGAATAGTATTTCATTTGGATGGTGTGTATGCACATGTGGATACAACACCAAATAAGCTTTTATAATAACCTCAAAGGCACAATGCTGAACTTATACATTATGCATTGATATTCTAAATGTCCATACATTTACTAACACGCCTTGTATTTCTTTCTGTATCATTGCATTATCACTACAGTATATTTTTAATTTATAAATAAATAATCATATACATTCATATTCAATTTCTAAAAGAATTATTTTATTTGACTGTATTCAATGGATTGTCCCATAAATAAACCAATTCCATCAAAAAAACAATTGATCAAGCTAACATTTAGTACACAAAATAAAAATATCATTAGGAATTAATTTTTCAAGAAATATATATTTTTAATTTATGAGAAACACTCACTCGAAGTGGGAAAGTAGTTCCCAATGGATAGAACGTGGTTTCCAGTAGATGGAGCGAGTGCCCATGCTACGCACAGCTTTCCTTGCGAGGAGAACACCTCCCACCACTGGAAACAGAATTGGAACTTAGAAGCTCTGCACACAAAATTAGGGCTAGGGTTTTAATGTACCAAGGGTTTATGATTTATCCATTTGCCCTGCACCTCGCGTGAGGAGTGCCCTGTCGTCGCCATTGCAGGAGCTCCTCCGGACAGGTCCTGCTTCCTCCCCCCAGCGGATCTTTTATTTTGCCGTCTCGTCATTGCTGTCAGAGATTCTTCCAAGTAGCCGCGCTTATTTGCATGGATTCCGCAGCGGTCGTTCGTTTATACGTTCGTCCATTCATTCTCTCATTCTAGTGTAGGTGGAAGATCCGTTGCGACGTATTGCTGTCGTTTTGAGAATTCCCTCTAGTGATTTGGTTTTCTTCTCCGAGAGGAGGCAAAACGGTCAGCAAGGGTTTTGATCGGTCGAGCTCATGTAGGCAGGTTTACCTAAGTTCTTTGCGGGTTTGTTCATCTCCTTGTCGCTCGAACGAATTTTTGTCTTTTTTCGTTTTTTCGTTTTTTTTCGTTTTTTTCGTTTTTTTCGTTTTTTCGTTTTTTCGTTTTTTTTTTTTTTTTTTTTTTTTTTTTTTTTTTTTTTCTGTTGGTTGTCATTTGTGATGTTTTAGCATACACAATTTATGCGGGATTTTGTAATGTTCTGCATTCGGATTGTTGACTTTGATTGTCGATTTTTTTGATCCCCCCCCACCCCCCACATTAACGCGAGTGAGGCAATTCCATATGAATATTGATCATTCTTCTTTTTAGGTTAATAGGGACACGTATTTGGTCGGAAGAATTAGTTCTTCGCAGATTTCAGTAGTTGTCAGTGTTAATTGGAAATGTGGATTTGGTAGCTGCCACACACAAGTACTGCACAATCGTTAGGTGAAAGTATCAGATATTAGGTGCATCTTTTCCAGCAGCAGCAGCGTTTTTAGTTGTGAAGTGCTTCGTCTTTATCGACCAAATTAGTATAGACGGTCGATGTGCAGTCACAGTGGCAAGGACCTGCATTGCTGGTTTGTTTATTTATTTCTTGTGTTTCACATTTAGTTTTATTTATTTATGGAGTTGTGCATCATGCATGCAGTTAAAATTCTAACTGATATTTTATGTCGAAGAATGTGCTTTGATGATCATCACTCTTCAAGGTTGAGGGTTTAATACAAGGGCTCCGGTCTCTATTATGGGATGGTATTTTGACTACTTGGTTCGAACCATCCTCTTGAGTATGCCAGGTTGAACTTTAACAACACAGTTTAGATTAAAAGGCCAAATTATTATTGAATTAGAAAATGCTAGTGTGAACTTCAATCTTCAGTATTCTCAACTCTGGCGTTCTCCTTTTCGAAGAAAGCTTCCGAGTGTCTGTAAGACGTCTGACAAGTGTGCGTCCTATTTCTATTTCTGAAGTACGGGAAGTATCGAATTCCACGTAGTTTCATGGATTTGTAGGACCCGAGTTGCGTAAGGTGGTGTACCATATTCAGACTCTCCAGGTTTCCGGTCTGAAATCGAAGTTGTTTTCGAGTAATATGTTAAGCGTTCAGAGAGAGCGTAAGAAGTTTGACGAGTAGCATTCTCTGTTTTTGCCGTTGAAAGAAACTCTTGCCTTCTGGTCAAAATTGAGAAGTGTATGGTGCATGTCTATGAATTCGTAAGCTTCCTAATATCCCTTTCATGCTGTCCTTCAGATTTTCATGCTCTTATCTAACTTGGCGTAATGTCTTCTTTGATGACAACGAACCTCTTTGTTTGCAGGTGGCAGGATGGCAGTTCGATGGAAAGCCGGTCAGCGGCGCAAACGGTGGACCGAGCAAGCCATCTCTCTTCGTGCTAGTTCTCTCGCTAGGCTACAAGACTCAGTTGTATCAGCTGATTTGCAATCTGATGCAGCATTTACGAATTTCGCTAAACTGCTCCAGGCTTTTGGACGACTGCCTTCCACCTTTGCACAAATAGCGGCAACCAAAGCTCTCTCTGATGTATTGCTGTCGGTGCTCAAATCTGATCACGCTTCCGCACAAACTGCTCTGCTTTTGTACGTGGAGCTCCTATTTTTGGACAATTCTCGTCCTATTCACCGCGGCTTGTTAACACCCTTGTCACGTCTATCTGACGATTGGAAAGTTAAAGTAGCAGATGCACTCAATGCCTGTTGCTTGGAGTATGGTCAGGGCGGAACAAAGCACCGAAGGTTTTCCATAGTGGGAGTCGTATCATCTATCTCTACACTTCCACAGCCGGGTATACTGAAAGGAGTATTAGAGATTTGCTTAAATGTTTTTACGTTGTCGGCTTGCCATGATATATCATGGGTGCTAGAATATTCCAATGAAGGAGGGCGGCCCCCACCAAACACAATGGAGGATTGCCAGGACGCAGTTGGTTCTCTTTATTACGTGCTGCAACATTATCCTCACACGTTTATAAATGAAGATTTGGATACAAGGGACGTCTCAGAGGAATCAACACTGAAACTTAATCAGATTCCAGTAGATCTGGATGTCTCAAATGATAAGTGTTCAGTAAATACTGAAGGACGATCCATTCAGTTTTGGTCGAGGTTGTCTGGGGTGGTGGTGTATGGCAGAATAGTTCGGACACTGATAGATGTACTTCAAACTTCGGCGCTGTCACGAGACTGCGTGGTGGCTGCAGGAGTAGGACTCTGTGCCGCTGCTCAATTCAAGAACACCAACGACGAAGTTGCTTTAATGCTAGCTAAATCGGTCTTTGCTTCTTCTACAGCTCATAGTGTTGCTGTCATATCAACTGTGGATGGTGTTAGTGAAGGACCCAATCAGTCCGGAATGATGGAAGCCGCCATTATGGATCAATGTCGAAGTAATCTCTCAGCTGAGGTCAGTAAATTCTCTGAATTTGGCAGGCTGTGTGTGTTGCGGGGACTCTTAACTGCCCTGCCTCGAGTAGCTCTCAACACTCCTCTTCTAATTCGAGAGGGTATCAGTTGTGGTGAGTCAACTACCATGAACGAACTTGGCTGCAGCACAGAATCAGCCTGGAAGTTGTGGACAATTCTCTATGACGGGATATTGCCTGCTCTTTGTACGTTCTCTGAGGGTTCTGTCGACAGTCATTTCAAGTTTCATACAATTACAGCTCTCCAAATATGCTTACAGCAAGTGCGTGCTTCTGTGACTGGAAAATTAACCCAAGAAGCACTTGATCGACTAGGTGAAGCGGCCAGTGTTCACAAAGTCATGATTAGTGGGTATGAACCGTTGCCATCAACAATGTTATCTCGAATTCTACAAATTGTGTGGAATAACTGGGAAGATCCTCTCACTCAAACCGTGAAGCAGGTCCAAGCTGTTTTTGACCTCCTTGTGGATGTCCAATTTATATTCGCACAACATGGACACAATGGCGACAACGATAATGTTGAAGCAAGCCATGGAGATTTTGTGAAACAGATAGCGTCAAACCTGCTAGCAGAGGGACGTTACAGAAAGGGCAAGTATGTGCCTTTGGCATCTTTAGCTGTACGGATAGGTGCTGAAAAGTTGTTGTCTATGAACCCGAACCTGTTGTTTGATACTTTTCATGCGCAGTCCGATGATGACGTGTGCTGTTCTGCGAGCTCATTTTTGAAAACATTTCTTGAGCGTCTGAAAGAGGATTGCTGGAGCTCCTTTGGTGGAGTTAATGAAGGCTGCCTAGCTTTTAGACGGCTGTGGATTCCCCCTCTTCTCACAGTTCTTCTCTCTGGAAATTCCCGGCTCAGGACCAATCTTAATACTTACGCACTACCGGTTGCTATGCGTATTGATCCGGACAGTGTAATTCCCATGTTGGCATTCATATTAGACGGAGCTGACAAGTGGGGAAAAAGGTCCAATTTAAGTTGGGAGGAGTTGATGGGTGCTCCTGGCTTGCCTTCTCACCTAACAATGCATCAGCGCATAGCAGCTTTGATATCAGTGCTGAAGGTGGCGCGTTCTTTAGCTCTCATCGGCGGAGATATTGATCAAAATTTCGACACCGGAAGTTCTGTCACTGGGATTACTAATGAAGATCTAAACTCATCATCTGGTGAGACTGTTATCGTGAGGGTTCAAAATGAGATCGTTCAGGTCCCCGTTTCATGGCTTGAGCAGGCGTTAACCCATCTCGATGATAGCTTACGAGTTGATGCAGCAGAACTTATCTGCTTGAATCCAAAAACGACATCTATGCCCTCTGCTTTGGAATTGAAAATGTTAAGGCTCTCAATACCTTTGAATATGAGGTGTTCCTCTACGTCATTTCGAATGCGATGGACCAGCTTGTTGAAAAAGTTCTTTAATCGTGTTCGAACTGCAGCATACCGGCATCACCGACTGAGTAATGAACCTCGGCTTGTGAAGACTTCGCCTTCTGTAATCAGTTATGGGGATGAAAAAAGAAAGAAAAGAGTTGCAGCAGCAGAGAAGCAGTTGAACGGAAATGAAGATGAGCATGTTTCGAAAGATGGGGTTAGCATTGCTGAGATGCAAGAATTTATGCAGCTGTTGACCCAGTACCTACTTTCTTCGCTCTATCCTTCTGCGCCTTACGAGCGCAAGAACATGGCAATGGAGCTTTTGAACGCAATAATTGAGGTTTGGAGTTTCTCACCTGAAGAAAAGCCGACGGGAACCAACTCACTTATTGCAGACTTTTCGCCGTACCAAGCTGGGCTTTTATCGGCTGAGGCAACTCTTGTAGTTGTTGGTGCAATCGTAGACAGCTGGGACAAGCTGAGGGAAAGTGCGTTTAGAATTCTTGTGCGTTACCCGACTCCTCTGCCAGGTTTGGAGTCAACTACCTCAATCGAACGCATTCTACACTGGGCCAAGGGCCTTGTTAGTAGCCCTCGTGTGCGAGAAAGTGATGCAGGAGCTCTTGTTCTCCGCCTCGTTTTCCACAAATATGTACTTGACCTTGGTTGGAGTATTAATGTTCATACTGTACTGGCATCCACAGTTGTGAGCAATGAATGTGGGAAAGCAGGGCCTGCTAGAATAGGAGTAGCAATAGCAGAGTATGTGGAGTCTCTGAATGATTGGCTGGAATGGGGGATTAATGAGGGGGACAGGGACCTCCTGAAGGCCTGTTCACATAGTTTTGTGCACGGGGTACTGTTAACACTTCGGTATACAATGGAAGAGCTTCCATGGGCTTCAGTTGCTGTTCAAGTGGGTGTTCACCGTCTTAGAGCCGCCCTGCATAAGCTCATCAGCCTGCTTTTGCGGGTTACCTCTTTGACTCTGTGGGTGGTTGCTGCTAGTGCTCTTAATCTGCCACCTGACATGGCTTCAGATACCTCAGCAGGTATGTTGGATGACATGATTGATGCCAATATCGACGAAGAGAGCTTTGAAGATGGAGAGGGGGTCGCCCCAGTTGAGCAGATGATCATGGTTGGCTGTTGGCTATCAATGAAAGAGGTCTGATCTTTGTCTTTATATTTTGGGTTAAAACCTCTGCATCTGTTTTTCTACTTTAGAACATTGCTCTCAATAATCCTCCATCGCTGACTCTTGTAGTTAAATGCATTCCTTTCCACCAGGAGAAGGTACTTAGAAGAATTGTTTGTTGTTCCTTTTATGATCGTGGAAGTTCTGAAAATGTACTGCAGGTTAGTCTTCTTTTGGGAACTATTGCGAGAGAGGTACCTTTATCTGAATGCTTTTCTGAAGAAGAGAAGACAAGATCGCTGGTTGCTGCAGAGGTAAGAACATAATACTAACATCTATTGATATTTCAAAAATATTAAGTTCTTTCTTATCGTCTTGTTATAGATTTTAATAAACTACATTGATCGTCATTATATAGGTTGTCTCTACATTTATGACTAATGTGGTCATAAAAATAGTTCGACCTTCTTTTATCGAATTCAAGGCTCAATCTCTACAAATATAGAGCGGAACAGCAGTGCCTTGTGCTGTGAGGGCCCGTGCCCGAAGTTCATGATAATTTTAGAACACATTGACAGCGTCTTCATATGCCAAGTAGTGATGTTATTAATATGGTTTTAATTATATGGTTCTTTTCTGGTGATGGTGTAGAATACAAGTGGGCTGTTGAACGCCGAACAGCTGGAGGCAATGGGGGCACATTTCTTGCAAGTGCTTCTGGCCATGAAACATAATGGTGCTATCGACAAAACTCGAGCTGGATTCATTGCCCTTTGTGATCGGCTTCTTCGCTCCCCTGACCCCAGGTCATCTTCTTGTGTATCTTTGTACTCAAACGTTGCAATAGATAGCTTTAACATATATGAAATTAGAGGCATGGTCCTAATTCTAAATACTTGCAGTACTCCATTTACATTCTCAAGCTCAAATGGTTATCTGCTCTTCTTTGATATATTATGTAGTTTTTTAAATAGCAGGATTTCAAAAAACATGTTACTAAATTTAACGAATTTATTCTTAATTTATTTCTAAGGCATATTCTTGTCTGAAATTTTTTGTTTTGCCAGATTTTTGTCGGGTTTGTTCTTGTGGAGGAGCTGTTGAAATATCATCAACTTCCTCATAATGCACAGTTCTTGGATTTTTTCAAGTTTGTCTCATTTGTTGTATCTTTTATAGCACAAGCAACAAGTTTAGTGCGAAATGGATTTGTAGGAGGAGCATTTCTGTGATAGATTTTGGAAATCATTCCATTGGAAATTGTTTTTCACGAGTGAATTGCAATGGATGCAGGTTGAATAAATTGCCTGAAACATGGATGCATCAGTTGATTGAAAGAACAGGGTCTAAAGGACAGACAGTAGACAATCTATTGAGACGTAGTGCTGGCATACCTGCAGCATTCCTGGCGCTTTTTTTGGCTGAGCCTGATGGTGCACCTAAAAAGCTTCTTCCAATGGCCATGAAATGGTTGATAGATACCTGTAAAAAGTTCGTATTCGCATCTACCAAAGCAAGTTCTGAAAGCAACGATAAGCATATTTCTCGTGGGGAGGATCTTGTACTTGTTGTTGACAACACCGCTGATAATTTGGAGCTGCAAACTAAGATGAAACGGCGGGATGAAGGTGTGGTGCCCACCGTCCATGCGTTCAACGCAATGCGAGTCGCATTTCATGACACTAACTTAGCTACTGATACTTCTGGATTCTGTGCGGATGGCCTCATAACTGCTATACAAGCTTTCTCATGCCCTTATTGGGAAGTTCGCAATAGTGCAACACTTGCATTCGCAGCTCTTGTGCATCGTACAATTGGATTTCTGAATGTGTACAAACGTGAATCTGCGAGGCGAGCTATTACAGGCTTTGAGTTCTTTCACAGGTTAGAAGCTCGGGTGCTTGCTGCATTTTCTCAGGTCAACTGTTTTATTCCATGTAAAGGGCCTTGTCAAAAGAGATTGACCTTGGCTGTCTTTGTCTTCCTTGCGTGTAATATTGAATTGTTTAGGAAATGAAGTGTTCGTGACTCGGTCTTCGTCTTCATTTGATATGTGCAGGTTTCCAACTTTACACCCCTTTCTTTTGCAAGAGCTTCGGTCAGCGACCTTGCAACTACAGCAAGATGGTGATGGTGGATATCAGGGCCATGGAATGACAAGTACTCTTCATCCAAGCTTGGGTCCTGTCTTAATCATATTGTCTCGGCTCAAGCCCTCGGTTATAAGCACAGGCGTGGGTGATTGGGTCAGCCCTTCTGCGTTCCGCCCTTATGTGACTTCATGTGCAACACTTGAGAATTTCCATGTCAGAGTGCTAGCATCACGAGCCCTGGCACCTCTCGTTTCGGCTGATGACTTACCTGCAGTCTTGTTGGAACTTGCGAAGAGCTTACCGAATGCAAGAAATACACCAAATATTGCGCTATCCTATAATGCAATGCATGGGGTGCTGTTGCAGATGACTGTTCTCTTGACCTCAAACTGTTCTGCGCTTCCGGATCTTGAAATGCGCCAAATGATTGTGACAAAGTTGTTCACCGAGGTCGAACAGCACTTATGGCTCGGTTCTATTCATCATTGTCCTTGCCACATGGTAGTAGGAGCCTTCTTTTGTATGTTAGAAGCAATGTTAAGTGTTGCCAAGACTTGTGCTCAAGGCGTGGTATCCATGGAGACCTTGACAAGGAACGTGCAAGCGCATCTTCTACATCTTTGCGCTGAGTGCCTGGAGGATGAAACTGAAGGTATTGCAAGCTGGAACGAGGCTATGCAGGTTCTTCTCTGCGAGCGAGCGTCGAACCTCTATTTTGGGACCATCCTCTCGAACTTGTTGTTACAGAGCATTGATGCAAAGGCTACACACAGTGACGGGCCTGAGCAGTTGAACGACTCCTATAGAAGCAGTTCGTCAGACATGTTGGCAGTGAAGAATCTAGGGCTCATGTTCAGTAGTGCGCTTTCACATAGAATGTATGAAGTGCGTTTAGAAACCCTCAAGGTTCTAAAAAGTTTCTTTTTCTGTTTAACACAACCAATCACTGAAAGGATCGGCTGGATTAGTAACTACTTGCAGCCATTGCTCGTGGAGCGATTAAGAATTGAGACCCACCCAGGTTGTGTGCGTCGCATTCTCCATGTTCTTTACGCTTGGAGGTCAGTGTTTAAGAAGAATTCACCAGCAGAGGATAGCAATACTGCTTGGGATTCATCGTCGTTGGTAACATGGGACAGGGTGCTGCATATCTACAAGACATCGAAACACGCTAAAACTAAGGAAGTCGCCATGAGGTGTATGGGAGCTTGCTTGAGCTCGGTGCTAAGCTATCTGCGCTTTACAAGTGATGAAGATTGTCATGTAGCAGACGGATCATCGACACCTGAACTTGTTAGGCGAGCAGTTGATGAATGGATTTGCCTAGTGAATAAGCATAGTGCAGCAAGTGAATCTGCAAATTTTCGCCGTGCTACAGCAGAGGCAATTGTGGCTTCCAGCTTGCTGGATCAAGTTCCAAGCGTGGCGTTATTCTTGACAAAAGTTTCAAAAGTGGGGGGGCACAGACTGGAGTTTGCGGAGTGGTACGGAAAAGGCCTATTACAGGTGTGGTGTGTCTGTGTGAAGCTCCTGGAAGATGAAGACCCAGATTTGCGGCAGAGTCTTGCATTGTCTCTGTTGGACGTCCTTGCTCTTTCATCTGGAACCAACGGAAATGCTCATTTCAATGCAGCAGTTCCGTCACAGGTAGAACGGGTGGTGCAGCTGGCTTTTCAGTGGTTGAGCTCACATTTCGGGTCGTGGCATGTATACTGGAGTGTGTTGGCAGAGTGGGTATTGGGTTCAGAGGATATAGATGCCCTTCTTGTAAGTGAAGTTGATCTGGTCAGACGTTTGTTTGACAAAGAAATTGACAATCACCATGAAGAGGAACTTGTGTTCGTACAACTTTGTTGCCTCCATTTGCGGCTGTTAGTCGGTTACGACTCTTTGTCCTCATCTGCTGAGGTTCGAGGTTCTGATTTATTACAAGGAATACATCATTCCAGGCCAGAATCTTGTGAGGCGTTTGTGGGAGCGTGGAGACAGAGGTTCCTGGAACAAGTCAAATCTTGTGCAGAGTTGACTCTGCGTATGCAGGAGAAAATGCCGTGGGTCGGTGGTGTGACAAACCACCAGGATGCGTTTAAAATGGTCTATCGTAGGCTGCTTGGTCTCTTGATTTTTGCAGGGCCTTGCATCAGCAGTCAGGCCCAAGTCCTCAAAGACCAACTTTTGGAAATCAGCAGATTATTGCGACAATTGCCTTTGAATCCGCTGGTGTCCAATGTTATGTATAAAATATTGCAGGCATATGAAACTTATGATGCGGCTATTGATTTGGGTTCCGCCAATTATCGTGCCAGCATGGGCTTAGCTTTCTGTGATAAGTTCGAGCCGTTGTTTCTTGTGGAGTGAAGCTCCTTATGGCGGATTGGAGGGTATATCCTCCAGTTGAAATTCTAGCTGCTGCTGCTGCTGCTGCTGTCCTAAGCGTGTGGAGCAGGTCGTTTCGATTATTTTGCTTCAGACATAACCATGTAAGTTGTCATAGCTTGAATACTCGGAGTTATTTTGGAAGAGGTAGTTCGTCTCACAGGTCACATCCCACTGCTATCTTTTGTATTGAATACAATTGGTTTTTTGGAATCGTAGGGTGTGGTAGAGATCAGGCTGTAAACTAATCAACACGTTGGAGTCCTGTTGCAGGAATATGCGAACTATTAAATTCATTTCACTGGATTTATGATGGTAGTTGATTCTTATGTGACACCGCGGATACGTGAAAAGAGACACCAGCGGCATACTTCATAGCGTTTTTCAGTGAATACTCAGCATCAAAACAGTAAGGGTAACCTAGAAAGGCCCTTGTGCGACTTCCCAACTCCATAGGGTTACGTGCGAGTCCCCTCGCTACTTGAATTGGCTAGCTGTAAGAATGAGCTTGCTCCGGTAATCGCAAGCATTGGACGTGGAACAATCATGTGGGGTTAAGAATTTTTCAAAGCAAGACGATGCTCAAGTTTTTTTAAATTTTAACGTCTCCATATATATATATATATATATATATATATATCCAGTGGGTTTGCTCTGCTTCTAGTATGTACACTTTTAGGTCATAATTGCTGGAAGTTCGATTTGTTTGTTGAATTAGGCATGTGTGTAACTCTGGTGAACGGCAGAGTATTCAACCAGATTTGCGGTGTCACAGTCTGCAAGCAATGTGCTGCACATTTTCACTAAGTCGCAAATGTTTCCTCCCCTGTTGAAAAATGAGCCAGCGGATTCTTCTCTCTTGTGTGGTACAGCAACGTGAAAGGAAAACCGTTCAAGCTTTTCCAGATCCGTTATGTGAATTTCTGAAAGTAAACTAATTTGGCGCTACTTGAAATTCAACCTCTTGCAGATTCTTTCATATGTATATATATATATTATATATTCTTTCATATATATATAAATGTATATATTAATTTCTTATTTTCCAGTAATAATAGAAAACAAAACATCTGATCGAAAATGAAAGATCTTACTAAATACACACAGAACAAATAATCCCACGAGTACGGCAAAAAGTCGTTTTAGAAAAACCCTAAAATTTAGTATAATTCTGCTGTACATGAAGCATTACAGGAAAATCCTTCCCTAAAGTCGTAATAAACATGAAGAAAGTTAACGAGAATGAGCTCCATAATGTACAGTCGAAAGCCAATTGCCAAATCAAAGGAAAACGAGCGGGAAGACCAAAAGAACGGAGTCCCAGTAGAAAAGCAACTCCTCAAATTAATAAAATTAAAGAGATGACAATACAACGATAACGGATGAATAAAGGAGAGTGAAATGGATGAAATATAGTTTCCGGATGAAAGATGTAAATGGATGGATAATGCACATGGATGGATGGATGAAGGCGAACGCGACATGAATCGACTTCTCCCGCCATTCCCTCCTCCTCCTCCTCCTTTTTTCCCTCCTTTTTCCTTCCTACCTTTTCGCTCTTCAATGTTCCATTCAACGTTCCTTCATCTTTGTTGTTGGTCTATGGCCATGTCCTCCCATTGCGGTTTCTCCAACGGATTACCACCTCGCTTGGTGTAGTGATCGGGAGGAGCGTGTTTCGATTACAGTTCCCCCGCCTCTTTCTCCCGCTCTGGCCAGTGCCCTAGTTGGTAGAGCATGCGATTCTCTGTGATTTCGCTCGCCTTTTATTACTTGTGTGGCGTTGTCACGGAAGGGTGGAGGTCGGAGTGAGTGTTGTAGGTGAGCAGCCCTCGCGTGGTGTTTGGTTTGGAAATGGACGTCGAATGTGTAGTGCGAGCTCTTTGCAAAGGCCTCTTGGTTTGTGATACGCGGTTGAGTGAGGGAAATAATAATAGGGGGTGCGGGCAGAATAGTGCGGGCTACATAGAATAATGGCAGTTGCTGTATTTTGAGGATGTGCTGTCTGGAGTGATGGAGTGGGAGTGTGTTCGACTGCTGGAATGTGCAATGCGCATGCTGGATTGTGGAGTGGAGTGCAGTGGAGTGAGGGGAGGTGCTAGTAGACTAGTTGTGTGCTGTGCTGTTGGATGTTATCATCGGCAGTGAGAAGGGTCACCGTTTTCCTTGAATCTCATTTTGTGATGTGTTAGGGTCATCGATTTTCTCATTTTTCGATATTGTTATTGCCATTTTCTCTGCAGGCGTTGTATCTTTTCCGACTCTCGGTTGGTTTCATTGTAATAACGCGCCAGAGGGCTGGAGACTGCAGAATTGTCAACATCACGATGAGCGGGCTTGTTAGGGGCCGACCTGTGAGAAGAGATGGTAGCGGAACTGATACCGTTGCCAAATCCGGGGCGAAAGAGACTCTAGCCATTGTGGATTTAGATGATGTGCCAGATGAAGCCTTTGCTGCGTCTGACGCGAAACGGAAGAAGACGCCTTCCAGGACTTCCGCGAAAAAACAGAAAGTTTCGGCAGGGGTGGGAGGTTCGAAGAAAAAACAAGCTCCTAAAGTGCCTAATGTAGCGAAAACCGTTGGTGAAGAAGAGGACGAAGACTCGAGTATGCTTTGCGATGATGGTGATGATGCCGCAGCTGCAGAAGAAGTGGTGGGTGCTGAATTGGACAAAGACGACGTTGATTGTTCCTTCATAGAGAGCAGTCGAATACCTTCTCATGTAGCAAAAAAAGATTATCCTCATCGATATGCAGATAGTTTACAGGTATGAATTCTCGCTTTGTTGAGCAGCGTTGATACTGTTGCTGTCAAAAAAATCAGAGGGCAATTAGGGCATTTTAACTTTGTTTGCAACAGGGCATCTAAGCTTCTTACAAAGATGCCTGTGAAACTCACAAGTTGTTGAGTGCATGACATAGCATTAATTTGCTTTAATGTTCGCAGGCGGATGGCAACAAATCAAAGAGATACAGGTTAGTTGCTCTCACTGTAATCCTTCAATCTCCCTATGCCCTCGGTCCTTGGAGATTCTGTTTAAATACTTTGCTTCCAGCAAACCGGTCGAGCTAGCTAATGTCGAGCGCGATGAATTTGAATGTGACCTGCTGGAACTTTCAGTACTTCGGCTCCGTCGTTAATACATTTGTACTATTTGAAGGATTTGAACCTAATTGCCTTTTATCATTTGCAACTTCATTTTTATTTTTGATGCTTATTTCTTGAAGACTGAGATCAGGACGCAGACTGTGGAAGAGCAACCGCTTGCTGTAATCGCACATTACCGGCAGGCTGAGGTGGAGGGGAAACTGTATAAGCTAGGCGATTGTGTCCACGTTCATGTTAGTTTCTTCCTGATCCTCTCTCTTCTCAGTTTGGGGGTAAACCTCATTGTAAAAGGGATCCCATCTCCACCGACCTTCATGCACCATCCTTATATACATCACGACACACTTCTCATGTGCATTGTGATCGAAGAATAGTTCTTGGCTGCATTGTCCTATTGCTGAACTTGGTGTCGCCAAGGATGTCGTGGTGACTACATCTGTGGTGCCAGAAATCTTATCAACACTTCATTCAATGGTGTGAATGGCGCAAGGTGTTCTGTATTTCTCGCTATGCCTGCGGTATGACAAACCTATATCAATTTTTGACGATAATGACTTGTTTTGGCACGTGGGCAGTCTGGCTTGGAGGACCCCTTCATAGGAAGAATTACCGAGTTCTATGAGAAGGAAGATAAGTCTCCATGGTTTCATGCGCAGTGGTTCTTCAGATCGTATGACACCGTAAGTTGCAAATGGATGCTTGCCTGAGCTGGTGGTCTTCTGCGTAGTGAGTCTGGTGTATTCGAGCAAAGTTTCATACCTCATGTTTTCGTCAGATAGTTTATTGCACTCACATATTGTGGCGGTCATATGTCACAGTTGATGGGTAAAGAAGGCCGGAATCACGACCCGAAGAAAATCTACTATTCTGAAGTGGCGGATGAAAACGAACTGCATGTGATTGTGGGGAAAGTATCTGTTATTAGAATTGCCTCAAAGGTAGGCCGCACGATGATGACGCTTACTCACCCGACTACCTATGTTGGCACCCTGCTCTGATATGAACGGTTGCATTGATGTTATGCGGATTTTTTTGGTGGTTCTGTTTCAAGCTTGAAGACCAAATGTCGGCGGATGCAGAGAATTTGCGTCAGGTTTCTTACTCACATCAAAGTCCGTGGTTGCGTGATAGCGTGCGGCTAGTGGTAGCGTGTTCCAGGAACTCGAGTTCAAATCTCATTGTTTTGCTTGCAATCTTGTGTGGTGGCAGGATCGATCCGACAGATCACCAATAAAGACTCCGGCCTGTGATTATTACTTTGATAAAGGATATATGTTTCAGTATGGGACTTTTTACACGCTCCCAAAAGATTTGCCTGGTCAGTGTTTGTGGTTTCTGTGTTTGAAGTGGTTGCCGTCGATTTCCGTCGATAATGAATTGGTGTATGTATTTAGTCCTTGGACATTTAGTAACCGTTTGGATTGAAGAAATGGTATATGGCGGTTTCATAGGACTGGCTTTTAATCAAATGTTGTTTCTATTAGTGTACCGTTTGATTTGAACCTCATTTTCGCTGCAGAGCCCCCTGGACTAGCCCAAGCGGAGAACAAATTCCACATCACGGAAAACACTATTGCATCGAAGAGCGGGTCTAAGTCCACGGAATCGGATAATTCATGCAGCGACTCTAACGACAAGAAAGATTTCTATCTTCTTGATCTGTACTGTGGGTGTGGTGCCATGTCGACTGGAATATGTCTAGGGATGAACCTAGCAGGCATTAATCTTGTTACGGTACGTCACCTTCATGTGTTGCCTCTCTCTATAGTATCTTCTTCCTTATGCAGCCATTTTAATGCATGTCTTGATAGGAGATTGCCCCTTGTTTGCCTGCTATATACGTGCTGTACCTCAGTTTGTTTTTCCGTCCGGATTCCTTCTTTTCTTGATCGTTACTAGATGTGTGCAATTTTTAAGCTATTAGCTCTCTTCTGCAGAAATGGGCCGTGGACCTGAACGAGTTTGCATGTATGTCATTAAAGTATAATCACCCAGAAACCACTGTAAGTTATTATTCTTTGGCATTGTATGTTGTGCACCTGGGATTCATCACGAGTTGTACCTGGGTCTCTGCATATTTGATCTTAGTCATTTATTGTTAACAAATTGTGGTTGCTTCTAATGTTGATTTGGCTTTAAATATTTTGGACACAACTTTTAGAACTAAAGAACTCTTGAGCTCCTTTCCATTTGACTGTGACGAAGGTGTACCTATCTTAAATATTGCTGTCTGCAGGTCCGAAACGAAGCTGCTGAAGATTACCTGCAGTTGCTGAAAGAGTGGAAGAAATTGTGCGAGAAGTATCCGGTAGGATGTGTTGTGCAGGAGGACAGTGAAGAAGATGAAGATGGAGATGATGACCCGGCAGCAGGGGAGTATGAAGTGGAGCGACTTCTCGGAATACGGTGGGTTGGAGAAGTAAGCGAGAAAGACAAAGAGGTTATGGAGCAAGTGGATGACGTGGTGGATAATGAAGAGGTCCCAACTGCGAAGACTCCTAAAACCCCGAAGACCCCCAAGAAAGAAAAAATTGAGAAGGACGCTGAGGTTCCTCTAACCAAAGGTCTCGAGTTCAAGGTAAGCTCCTGTTCAGCATTTATTTTAACACGAGTTTTGAGACAGACGATAGTCCTTTTCCACTGCTACGTGTCGAGGTTTTTGGGTAGATTTTTTGCTGCAGTTATGGTAATGCTAGTATCTTGCGACTCTTTGGATGTGGTTCACCAGCAGTTACTGCATAATATTCTTCCAGAAAGTTATGCTTACAAAGTCGTGCTGCTTATATGTTTGGTGGTTCTTCAGGTCAGGTGGAAGGGTTATGCTCCTGAGGACGATACATGGGAACCAGCTGCAAGTTTGGAGTAATATTTCTTTACGTTAATCGTTTTATGGCATGGATAATACTGAAACGATGATGGTATAGGCCTGCAGAGTAGGCTAAGTGGATTAGAACCATGTCACGAACTGTGGCTGTATAATGTCCGCTGACTGTCTCTTCGCTGGGATGCATACAGTCACTGCCCAGAACGTGTGAAGGAGTTCGTATTAGAAGGGAGGAGACAAAAGCTACTTCCACTTCCTGTATGTTACCACACCTTATTTTTTTATGCGTTTGATGTTGATGAGTTTTTTGTGTTGAGTAGATTCCTGGAAGTTCTGATTAGGATTGGGAATGTGGGGTGTGGATTCTTAGAGTTCGTCCTGTGTATTGTATTGATGCCATCAATAGTTTGGACCGGTGTAACATTTGGAGTCACTTCAATTGCAGTTCATATTTGCTAATGTTGTTGCTTATTGAACTTTTTCCGTATTCTAGGGTGATTGTGATGTTATCTGTGGAGGCCCTCCTTGCCAAGGCGCCAGTGGATTCAACCGGTTTCGGAACAGAGTAGATCCTTTGGCAGATCCAAGGAACAAGCAGATGGTTGTGTATATGGACATCGTTGATTTCTTGCGTCCTAGATTTTTCATCATGGAAAACGTTGTTGATATTCTCAAGTTTTGTGATGGCATACTGGGGCGCTATGCTCTTGCAAGAGCTGTGGGAATGAATTACCAGGTATAGCTTAGCCCCACAGAGCATGATTCAAAATTCATCATGATGTGATATTTTTGCTTGTGAGGGTTACATGGAAGTTCTTCTGGGTCTTGAGATAGTGATTCGGATTCAGTTCTTGGTGTTAAGATGCTTGAAATGTTGACTTACCTCACATACAGACCAATACCGTTTCTTTTCATCCAAATTTTATTGGAGCTCAATCTTGTTGTTCATGGGTTTCTGAACTTTGTGCAGTCAAAAGTTGGCATCATGGTCGCTGGGTGCTACGGAATGCCTCAATTTAGAGCGCGATGCTTTTTGTGGGGAGCGGCTAGTGACGAGGTCAGCCTTGTCATGCTATCTTTCCCTATTACTCTCTTTTGAAATGCTTTTGAACATTACCTATTCAAAATATATACCTATTTTCTATGAAAAAGTGTTTACATTAATATGGATATTTCAGTTCATGATCTGAAATTTGAGATGTTAAATGATACCTTGGGATGTAGCTTGTGTTTTGTCAGTAAAGTTAGACATCAGAAAAGTGTTCTCATAATTGTTGAAATGAATAATGCATTTGATTGCAGATACTTCCGCCCTATCCAATGCCCACACATAAGGTTATCGTACGTGGTGGTTTCCCACAGAAATGGGAGGTAAGGATCTCATTGACGCTAGTTTTACTTGCGGTGCAGATTCTTTCGGTTTAGATGACAATTGACTTTAGCTTTTCCCGCTGAAGTTGTGATCGTTCAATGTTGTTTTTTCTTTTTTTTTTGACGCAGAGATGTTTAGTTGCTTATGAAGAGAACAAGCAACCTGAATGGTTACAGCTACCTCTTGTGCTCAAGGATGCACTTTCTGATCTTCCTGCTGTAAGCATTTCCTTGTCCAAAACCTTTTTGCATAGACGTGGAGCTGAACGTGTTATTCGAAATCACATGCAATGGTTTTTTGGGTGAAATAATTGTATTTTTTTGCTGTAGGTTGGGAATGATCAAAGCAAAGATGACATTTCATACGACGAGGAGCCGCAATGTGATTTTCAACACTTCCTGCGCTTACCAAAGAAAGGTATCTGACGTTGCTATATTTTGAGCACTTAGTATGCAAATAGTTCAATAGTTGCTGATTATGCAGATGATGAAAACTTCAATTACTGATTATTCTAGAAGAATTGCATTGAAGAAACTCGATTTCATGTTCGGATGAGTGCAGGAACTGGTGGTCTAGGCAGTCTTGGTCCACAACAAAAGAAAAAAGCTATCCTTCCAGATCATCGACCTCTTTGCTTGAATGCAGATGACTATGAACGCGTGAAACAAATCCCGAAAAAAAAGGTATGTTCATTTATCGTTAGTAAGCTAAATCTCTGATTCTTATCCCCTACTTTTGTTACACCTGCCAGCTCTTGCTTCTTAAGCAGTTGTTTTCAACTAACTACTTTTAGAACAGAACAACACTGGTGGAGCAATATCAGAAGTACACGGAATGTTATTCTTTAAGCATGAAAACTTGCATGATTAACGACGTTGTCTGGCAGGGAGCGAATTTTAGAGATTTGAAGGGCATAATCATTAAAGCGGATGGAGTGACTGTGGATGTGGTCAGGGAGCCGCGCGAACTTCTGAAATCGGGCAAGCCCTTGGTATGTAATCCGCACATTTGTGTGGTTTCAGGATCGATGAATTTTGAGTTCATTGCTACCTTTTTAACGTGACGTATCTGCTTGGATTATCTTCTGCGTGAGCTACTAATCTCTGCATTCGACATGCAGGTGCCAGACTATGCTATTAGTTTCATACGTGGACGCTCTTTCAAGTATGCCTTTTTAACTTATCTGGGGATATTTTCAAAGTTTTCAAGTATTTTGGTGAAGTATATTTTTTTGTTGTTGTTCGTCTCCTCCTCCTTTTCCTCCTCCCAGTCATTTACTTCTATCTCCGATCACGGGAAGGTTGGAATCTGACTTCTTATTGCTGATTTTGCAGACCCTTCGGAAGATTGTGGTGGGATGAGACAGTTCCAACCGTTGTTACACGAGCAGAGCCTCATAATCAGGTGCTACCATGGATTCTGTGAATAGACCAGTTTTAGGATGTCTTTGTCAACCCCACAGATTTGTGACTGGCCAAATTTGAAGACTTCTAACCTCGCAACGACAACTTGAAACTAAATCCGTTCGTCTGTCTAAGAACTATCTTTAACGATCTCTTATATATTGATTGCAGATCATTCTTCATCCTGAGCAGGATCGCGTGCTGACTATCAGAGAGAATGCCCGACTACAAGGATTTTCTGACTACTACAAGTTATTTGGTCCAATCAAGCAACGGTATGTCTGGCTTCCATCTCTTGTTCACAAATCATGTTCAATGCTGTTTTGTTTTGAAGATGCCCTTAACATGCGTTATGACCGGGGGGTTGCCAGATACATGCAAGTAGGCAATGCAGTTGCGGTGCCTGTTGCAACAGCTCTTGGATACGTCCTTGGACAGTCTTTTCTCCGTAAGGTCTCACATCAACAAGAAACGCTGGAGCTTCCTCGCCACTTTCCTTATTGCTTGACGATCGACCCGTGAGCTTCGCACGAGAAAAAGACCCCAAACGATTAATCAGTGGGATGGATTGCCGTGGGGGTTGCTCTCAGCCCCTCAGCCTCACTACTCACTCTGACCAATTTAACTCAGGGTTGCATTCGAGAGTAGTGCAGTGGTAATAACCTCTCTGCAGGTGGGCACAGCAGCCAAGAAAAGATGGACCTACGCGCTGTCACACTGGGTAATGCTCACCTGGTAGCAATTGAGGTTTAGGCAATGAGAGGGTGGGACCCTGACACTTGGGTGGAGTAGCTGTTAACTTCGACACTCCATCATGTATTCAGCAGAAGAATCAAACTGCAGTTAGTCATTTCTAGAGCTGACAACGGGCTATGTGGAAATCTGCCAAACTGTGTCTCGACCTTGCAACAATTATTACGTTAGTTACTCTAGAGTTGAGTTAAAACGAATGTGCCCATAACGTGACCAGTATTATGATTATCATAAAAGGATGCATTATTTGTATTGAAAGTGTCTCATTTGTCGAAACTTCACACGCTGCAGGTTATGTTGGCTCCTAACACTAAAATGCTTTCGACGCATCTGTAATAACCGGTCGGGCTGAGGTTGCTTGCTGCCCCGAGCCCAAGGGAATTTGGGCCAAAACCATCTCGCCTACCTTCTTTCTGTTTTTTTGTGTTTTCTTACAATTCAGGTTTATACTTTCATTCCTGTTTTTTATACAACTTTTGTCAATACCCATGTATGTCCGTAACAAAGGACATTGCTATGGAAGTTACGGCACTCTATCATTAGTATACATCATTACTAAATAAATACTGCTAAATCAAATAAAGATTTGGTTGAATTGTGAACTGTGTACATGCCAGTAATTGCTAATTGTGGTTGATGTTTGTCGTAGAGCTGATACAAGAAACAAACATGCTTGTGTAGCAACAGATAATTCATTTAGCTAATTCTCCTTGTTAGTATTAAGTGTGAAACAGATAATGCGAATTTATTTGTTGTCCCACTTGGAAATAGCAGTTGTGCTAGATTAATGTGAAAATAGATCATTTAAAAGTATTGTCAAGAAAAATACTCAACTTTTGGTAGCATACTATAAAGAAGTTTGATAGTTGTAAGAACTTAAAAGTACTTATAAAAAGAAATTTAACTAACCCACAAGAATGAGACTCACAAGAATTTAATTCAAAAAATTATGCATTCCATAATTTATAAATGTTAACTTGTAAGCATGAGTTTTGGTATTTGGATTTAATTTGCTTAAATAGGGCAATTTAGTAATTTAAGTATACTACATGAGGTTATAGGTTTTAGGATTAGAATTTAAGTAATTTTTGAATTCAAGTATAAGTTCACTAATTCAAGTAAATTATAAAGACCAATTTTGTAAACAAATTTTTACTTTTTTATTCTAAAATTATTTTATTCCTAAATATTAACTACATATACTAAGGTGTATTTTATGTTCTTTACATATATATATTTTTAAAATATTTTATTTATGATTAGTCCTATTACCTTGTATATTTTCAATTCAAGAATAAAAAAACATGCCAATTTTAAAAAATCCAAATTTAAATTATTTATTTGAATGTACTTGTTTTTTTAATATTTTACTACAATTTTAGAACATTAATAAAATTTAAAATATTTTACAGTTCCATTTTAATATAAATATTTTGTTACTATAAGAGGTTTTTTCATAATTACTTTGATAAATATAATTTTGTAGATTTTAAACTAAAAGAACTTAAATTTGTTCTACTATGTTCATTAAAATTGAGTTTTATTTTGATTTTTTATATGTACTTAAAATTACTGAAAACCTCAAAAAATTATTCATTTTAGTTTACAAAATTCTTATATTGACTTAGTAAAAAAGTAAACTAAAAAAGAAAACTAATTAACCATGATTTGATTGTCTACATTAAATTAAGTTTTTCAATATTGTACTCAATTAATTGCATTAAAATTTATAATTTGATTTTTCTTTTCTCTATAATGAGGCAAAAGGTATCTACTTTAAAGCAAAAAAAATGTTCTTAATGCTTTAAATTTAGTAGAACATCTGTTTACAAGTCATTTTATCACAAATACCAATCTCATACAACTTCTGTTATCTTCTATCATATCAAGTGAAATTTTCAATACTGATTGTTTTTAAACTATAGTTGTAATAAAAACACATTGAAGATATTTAGATAATTCAATTGTGATAAACTAGTTTTTATCACAATTGAATCATCCAAAAAGCATCAAGGTATTTTGTTTTGTTGTTGTAAGAGTTTGAAGAAGCAAATTTTTCAACACCAATTGTAAAACAATCTATAATGGAAGGGTGAATTACAGGTTGTTTTACATTCTAATGGTGAACTTCTCTGTTGCACATTCAATTAATAAAAATTTGGCAGCATCAACCCACCTCTATCTTCCACGATTGAGAAAAATATCATCTTACTTAAGTCTCATGTCAGAGTTCAAAACCATAAAAAAAACGAGCACAGAAAGCAAAACCAACCACCCATTTCTTTAAGAAAACTAAAATTCTCATAATCCCTTCATGCAAGACAACCGAAGTGCTCTTCTATAAAGTATGTTACCGACCCCTTACCGACAAGAAAAAACAATCAAACAAACAGGCCCAGTTGCAAATGTTTCCTTTCTATTCAAGGTGTGCAAAAAAAGCGAGACAGATTCACATGCTCTCCGACTCCGAAATCCTCGCCTCAGCTCGGCACTCGCACCTTCCCAAGCCGTGACTTCATATTCGAATGCCGAAGCATATCCTCAGCTTCACCACATTATATGTGCAAAACGATCACAAACTCAACACTGACTGCAAATTAGTTCACTGAACCAAAAAAAACCAAAAACACTCACAGCGCTGAGTGACTGTCATGTCATAGATACTAGTTACGGCTTACAACAGAGGCAAGCTCGCGAACAGGCTGCCAACAAACAAACAGTACACACACACGCTGCACATTCACAGACACAGCACAAACAAACAAACAAACCCACAAAGCGATACCCCCCTGAAAAAGCTATCGACAAATCCGAACCGAACCGAACCGCCCAGAAACAAACCCCTTACTACACCGAAAAACACCAACCATCTCCGTTTCAGAGACGCACCACGACTGCAACAAAAACACACTTACAAACTCACAAATCTCTGAAGGGCCAGCACAATGAATGAAGGGGGACAAAGGGCATGAATAAATGAGATCACAAAAACTGTGAACCTCCGCACCACAACCGCACCTTCAAAAAGCAAGCTTGGTCATGTACATGGCATAGCTGACTCCAGTCAGTCAGCAACAAATTTCTATTTATATATATGTATATATAAGTATATTACCGCCCCCTGATCGAGCTCTAAACTGAGTAGTGGCATAATCTGGTGACGAGGAAAGCAGAGGAGGATGAGTTTGGAATCCACCACCAATTTCCAATGTAAGAATCTGACCATCAAACTTTACAATCAACTTCTATTGTAGTAGTAGAAGGCTTCAACCATTTGGTGCAACATCACCCTTACACACTTATGTGCAACTTTACAAAGGGTGGTTGGGGCCTCATTCTCCTTACTCAAATTTTATTATATATTCATATATATAGGGAATTATTAAATTGACCTAGTCATCATTGTTGGTTGAGGATCCAACTATTTTTTCATTGGTTTTTTATCAATGAAGATTTGGTATTGGATAATTTTTTGATGATGGTTAGGATGGGTGGATCAATTTAGTAAATTTTTGGGCCAATAAAGTAATACTCTATCTATAATATATAATGAAATGTTAAATAGACCTAGGCTTTTATTAAATTGATCCACCCATCATGACAAAAAGAATAACATCTAGATTCATTTCTCCATTATTGGATCCAAAACCAATTAAAACCAACCACATTCATCATGATTACTATATTCTTCATTATAAATAGATAAATTTAGTAAAAATCTAAGTCTATTTAATATTCTCATATATATATTATATAATTCAAAAGATATAATTATGTGTGTATATTGATATATATATATATATATATATATATATTAAATAGATTTAAATTTTACTAAATTGATCTACACATCCTAACTATCATGAAAAAAAAAAATGACATTTAGATTCATTTTTCTACTATTGGATCTACATCCAATGGAAATCAACCACATTTATCATGATTATTATATTCTTTATTAAAAACAGATCTATTTAATAAAAACATGGATCTATTTAATATCTATCTATCTATCTATCTATCTATCTATCTATTTGTCTGCAATTTAGTCAAAATATTAAAGTCTGTTTGTATGATTATTCTCCACCTTAAAAATACATTCTTCATTCTTGTGGGTGAATGTTTAGGTAAACCAATTGTCTATTGTGATGTCATTTATTCATTCATTTTCTTTGGAGATGATGTCAATAATATGGCACAGTTGACGAAAAGAGAAAGAAGTCTATTGGAGTTATCAAGGACATATATATTTATCCCAATAATTATTTATATGATTAGGTAGAAGTAGATAAATATAAATTAATTTTATAAAGTCTTCTAGAGAAGCTTTCTAGAAGCTTTATAGATGCGGTTTTGACTTTAGATGTATTTGTAGGATAGAAACTTGGCCAATAAGTTAACCACGTGTTGATAGCTTGTGGAATAAGTTAACTTTGTGTAGTAGCTTGTGGAACAAACTAACTATGTAGCACATACATAGATAACTTGCTTTGCAAGTTAAGACATGTGGTTAGCAAATTCAACACATGTTGGAGGTTCTATAGAATATTGCCATATAACTTTTAGTTAGAGAGTATATAAGGAAGCAAGAGTGAAGCCTTCTTCACTCTTGTCAATGCTATTCTAGTCTTTAGTCTTATTTCAAGACTTTTTAGTCTTCTTGTTTTTGGCAATAGCCATTCTAATTCAATATTATATCATCTTTGAGTGACTTTCTAGCTCTTTTCAGTGATACAAGAGTGTATTGAGGATTTTTTTTTCTTTGAGATTTATGTCCTTGACAGTTTAATAAAAGTGCTAACATATTGTTTCTATCTTGTTTTAGAAGAGAATGGATTAACTTACTTCTATAGCTATATTTTGAAGGTTGTAGATTATCCACCTTTAAACAAAAAATCTTATTTTCTAACATTGATCTTTTCTTTAAAGAGAGTGGATTATCCCTCTTTGTGGAAATTTTTATTAAAGATTGCAGATTACCTTCTAATTTAACTTTTTGGATTTGTTTGAGTTGTCTATAGAAAGAAAGATTATGGATGCTACCCCTAATGGAAGTGAAAATAGATTTACAACTATTGCGGATCTTCACGAGCTTGTCAATATTCTAAGGGTAGAAATTTCACACATCACCAACGTCAACCATGGGAGCACTAATTCTATACCTATGGAAGAAGTCCAGAGTCTACATCAAGAAGTTTTGTAATTGAGGAAAACAAGTTAGTCAGCCTCACAACCAAATTCAAAGAGTATTGCTTCTA